CCCCAAAAAGTTCATTATACTTTGAAATGCATTTTGTATTTTCATTTGAATATGTCTGTGTTCATTTTTAGTCCTTCTGTTAGTGAAAAGTAGTAGTTCTCCACTTTTCTGCCTCTCACACCATTTATACATGTTCTGTGTTTACATGAAGATCAACCCCCACCCCCTCCCCCATCCCAAATAACTTACCTGAATGTACATTCCTTGGCAGACACAGGGACACAGTTGAATTCAGTGGTTTTCAAATATGCCTTAAGCCCAAATCACCTGGATCCATCTCAGAGATTGACTCCTGGCCAGCTGGCTGGCAATCCATAACTTTAAAAGGGTTATTCTGATCACCAGGCTTGCAGATCACTATTGTATCTTGAAATACAAGATTTTTTTCTTATAGCTAGAATGTAGGGATGAAACATCCTATCTACTAGCCTGGAGAAAAGATTTGATATTTGTAATTAAAGAAACAAAAAGTTGCCTGTGTCTGGCTGTGAAGAATGCTGGAAGTTGTGATGGATCATGTTTCACAATTCAGGTTGCCAGGCTCTGGACCATCCAAGAAATCAGCACATCTAAGAGAATTAAATTGTAATAAATAAAGAACAGTATTTACTAGACCGTAGCAGGAAGGACTGCAGTAGTAGCTTCTTTTTGTTGACAGTCATATCTTTCTCGCCTGATTAAACCTTAGACTCTATATAAAGAGGAAGCATTCTGCTTCCTGGCCAGTCTCCTCTACCTTATTAATTCAGCCTTGCAACAGATTTCACCTCCTGGCATGAAAATTCCGAAGACATTTACAGGTTTTGTAAGTGGATCTTGAGATGCCATTTTTATTTTGGACAGTTAGATTTCTAAGTGTAGTTCAGTGTATTGTTTTATTATTTCCACTAATGGATTGTTCTTTTTCACAAAGTGCTGCATTCTAAGAATAGATGGACCACATTTTTAAAAACTGCTCTCTTGTCTTATTTATTTCTTCTTCTATCTATTGGTTTTATTACATGCGTATTTTAGAGTATTTAAAAATAATCGCAGGTTCTTCCAATTCTTTTGCTCACCTTAATTGTGTCCATCCATCCTTGCCATGGCTCTCCTTGTGGTGGCCGTGACTTGCTGTGGACACTGGTTGCCTGGCCTGGCTAAGCACTCCATCTGCTTACCTATCTGCTCAGCACAGCTCTGGAGTTTCCTGTTGCGGAGCTCCTTGCGGGCTGGCAGTCACGTAGAAGCTAAAGTTAGTCTCATGCCAGTTAAACCCTGCCTTCGGTTGATTTTTCCCTTCCAGATGCTCAAAAAATCACAGTGAGTCCTCTGCTCATTTATAAAACCTAAAACAGCACTTACTCCCTTCCCTCTTATCACTTGTGAAACTTTTTAGATGTGATACTGATGTGACTTAGTTGGGTTTTTTTTTTTTAATGTTTTTATTGACTTTTAGAGAGAAGGGAGAGGAAGAGAGATAGAAATATCGATGAGAGAGAAACATCATGGATCAGCTGCCTCTTGTATGCCCCCTACTGGGGATCAGGCTAACCCGGGCATGTGCCCTGACGGGAATCAAACTATGACCTCTTGGTTCCTGGGTCAATGTCCACCACTGAACCACACCGGCTGGGTGTGGCACCGGCTTTACCAACAGAGTTGTCTCAGTTTCCCAGTACTCTTCTCCAGGCTTCACAGTAAAGTGAGAGATGTGAGCTTGACCAACCACAGTTCTCGGCGTGGCTTCATGGCCATCCCCACACAAGAGAAAGCCAGCTGTGATCTTGCTGTCTGAGCTACTGGGAAGTAAAGGAAGATTCGAGGCCCTGAGGAACTGCCTTCCAGGATGGTCAGGATCTTTGTTCGGTGCCTTTGTTTAGGTTTTAACCCCCTGTCCCCACCCCCACCCCCACCCCACACACACCTGCAATTTTCTCATAACCTTTTATGAGTTACTTCTACTGAGGAACACGTACTTCTGAACAAGTCCGGGCAGGACAGGGCAGTTTTCCTGGTTCTGCGTCAAGCCTGGGTCAGGCCTGTCTTCTCAGGAATAAGGTAGTGAGGAATGTCACACAGGAGCAGGTAGCGGGGAGGCACGGTGAAGATGGGGACATTCCTTGGCCAGGCTACTTTTTATTTGCCAGTAAGAAACACTTTTTGTACATGACTGAGAGTCTCTAGTTTTTACACAAAATTAAGACAAAACAAGAAACTGGGACTTGTAAACATTTATCTCACTGCATTTATTTATGCGTTGGAAATGGAAAGATTCACACACCACACTAAAAATAAAATCCTGTGACAAAGCTAACTGTAAATGTAATGCCATGAATCTACCGTTCATGGATGAAGAGCGCAGCTAGCCTAAGCTGGAGTGAAAGTCTTTTCTGAGGCGCCTGGGACAGGGTGGGTAAGGGGAGTGAGGGAGGGTCCGGTAGTAAAGGCTGTGTGTGCCCGGTGCTGATGTTTGCCTGAAGTCTAGTGGGAATCAGCAAGGTGGCAGCGATCATAAAACAATTAGCAAGGACACAGCGGGGACACACCATCTCCGTGTACGAGCATTCGCTAAGCTGTGAGGTTTGAGAGCTGGAATATTAAATTTTGTACAATTGGATTTTTCTATCTCCTAACTTCTATTATCCTCTGTGTGTGCCCATATTCCATGTATGAGAGATTCCCCCAGGAGACATAACAAATCACAAGAAATTACCTCTTCTAATTGTTCATTCTTGCTCATGTAGGATGAAGGTCCTGAGGCCCCAGAATCTTAGGAGGTTGGAGAGTTGTTTTGTGTGCTGGATTCTGTTTTCCCCCCGTTTCCAACCAGCTACGAAATCTTTTGGTCTTATATCCCTATTCTGTGAACTAAAAGTGGGCTTAGTTATATCTCCCAACTCTGATGTTCCATGGTTCTCATCACATAGAAATGACATTTAAAGGTGCTTTGTAAATATTCGTGATACTCAAGACTACACTGCAGAGTCCGTAGCTGCTCATCTTGTCTCAGCATCTCAATGTCCCATATTCATTTTAAAGACCTGAAATGAAGTTCAACTCTATGCGGAGCAGGTGAAAGGCCTGTTTTTGTGTGTGTTAGTTTAAAATATATTTTTTTTGTTTTCAGAGAGGAAGGGAGAGGGAGAGAAAGATAGAAACATCAATGATGAGAGGGAATCATCGACCGGCTGCCTCCTGCACCCAGGCATGTGCCCTGACCGGGAATTGAACCATGACCTCCTTGTTGTAGGTTGATGTTCAATGAAAGGTCTTTGTTTTATTTTCTGTTCACACCATTGCTTACTTTTTCGTGACCAGAGGGCACCAAAAGGTTGTCAGTTGATTCTTGGTCAGGATACGTGCCAGGGTTGCAGGCTCAGTCCCCAGTGCGGGGAGCGTGCAGGAGGCGGCTGATGGATGTTTTGCTCTCACAGTGATGTTTCTGTCTCACTCACTCTTTCAAAAAAATCAGTAAAAAATCTTTTTTAAAAAAAATTCCACAATGTGGTATGATTGGGGGGAAGTGGATTAAGTGGGATACATTTGCATGGGAGGCCTGTGTGACAGGTCACAGCTGCAGCGAGGATTCTAACCCTGTGCTTCGGAGCTGCAAAGACAGACCTGTACTCAGTGTGTTGGCTTCCTTTGTAAATCTCCGAACTTAATGCCATTTAAATATCCTGAGAAGGGCCCATAGGACTCATTAGACTGCCAGAGGGATCCATAGCCTATATAATAAAGAGCTAATATGCTAGTTAGACTGGACGGTGGGCCGACCTTCTGGAACAACCACTGGGCAGGGCCGCGAGGCAGCCGCGCTGCAAGGGCCGAGCCCCGTGCACAAATTTCGTGCATTGGGCCTCTAGTACAAAAAATCAAAAACCCAAAAACCACAACAAAAACCTCAGAACCCCTGCATGTAGAATTAAAGCAAACAGGTAAGTCATGGTTGGAGCAAGCCATTTAGAAAAGTCCCTGAACAGCTCTTGGATACAAGAAGTCTTACCCCAGATTTTTTCTTTAACTTGAGTTTCGGTTTGTTTCCTTTTTAAAAAATACTTTTTTGTTGATTTGGGAGAGAGAGAGAGAGACAGAAACATCAATGATGAGAATCTTTGATTGGCTGCCAGTGTCGGGGATCGAGCCTGCACCTGGGCATGTGCTCTGACCTGGAATCAAACCTTGACCTCAGCCACTGAGCCACGCCGGCCAGGCTTTGGCTTAAGTTTTTTTTGTGAGTGTGGTTTTTTTTGCGGGCGCCAGGACCAACGATCACCAGCTGCCCAAGTACCAAAAAATTATGCTTCCGAAATCTCTCGATGTTGATACCGCACGGAGAGCAATCAGGCTGCTCTGCATGTGCCACTCACGACAAAAGCCCTTTTTTTGGCTTAAGTTTTTAAGTGGCAGTAGGCAGAGTAGTTTTCCTTCATTCTCCCAAGTTGGTTTCTTTTCAAGGATTCAGACTAGTGAATGAATCCAATTTTAACAGCTGCAGTGTCGTCTTCAGGGTGTTTCAAGCTCATATGGTTCCCTAGTATCAACACTGCTGGTAGCAGCCTCGGTGTGAATGTGTGCTTCTGGCAAAGAGTGTATTTTCATTTTAATTGACACGTTCTTCGAGATACTAAATCTTGCTGCCAAGAGCCTTCCTCACTGGTAGCTGTAAAAATGCTAAATCCACCCTTCACCGCTCCTGTCAAGATAAATGCAAGCTGCGTCTCCCCTCGAAGGCGTTGAGAGGAATAATTTGCTTAGTGGTCTGTTTGGGAAGATGTTTCCAGCCAGACGTTACAGGGACCCACCCAACTGCAAAGATGTTTATTGTCTAAAACAAGATCCGCTGCCTTTTTTTTTTTTCTTTTAATATAGTTTATTGATTTTTTTTACAGAGAAGAAGGGAGGGGGACAGAGAGCCAGAAACATCAATGAGAGAGATCGATCAGCTGCCTCCTGCATGCCCCCCAGTGGGGATGTGCCCACAACCAAGGTACATGCCCTTGACCGGAATCGAACCTGGGACCCCTGAGTCCGCAGGCCGACGCTCTATCCACTGAGCCAAACCGGTTCGGCTCGCTGCCTTTTTTATTATGAAACAAATAGCAGTTGAAATGAGAATTTTAGGATTGCTCACTTGTTCTAGATTCTATGGTAGAGGAGTAGCAGCAATAAAATCATTAATACTCCAAGCTTACTTAGAAAGTATCCTGTATAGCTGAGAAACAGTTACCTATAGATAAAGGGAACTCGGTCTTTTGGGGGGCAGAGGGGTAGTCTGCTTAATAAAATGATTGTTCTTCTATATGTGCCTTCAAAACTAACACCTCTATTCAGTGATCTGGATGTCTGAGCTAAGGCACATAGAGGGAGGTCTGTTAGTAAAAAGGGGTGGTAGGGTTATCAAGGTTTTGTTTTTAATTGATTTTTGCTGTTTTGCTTGGGCTAGTTCATCAAAAAACCTGGTATTGCTTGTCATAAATGGCAGCATTTACATAGGATTTCTTTCTGTGACTCTAACCACAGAGCCTTTCTGTGCCTTCCCTGCAGTTAGGTTTGTGATCATCAGAAGAGCCCCGTGAAGTAGTAGAGGAGTTCCCTTCACTTTACAGGGGAGGGACTCGAGGCCCGAGAAATGAAATGTTTAAGTTTTGCCGTGAGTTGCAGAACCGGTCCTGGAGCCTGGGTCTTCTGGCTCCTGGCCTCGGGCTCTTTAAACTCACTGGCTACGCTGCTTTGAAAAGAATGTGAGAGAGACCGTCCAGGCATGTATACCTCGCCGCCAAGGGAGCACGCATTCATTCCCCATCTCACGGTGTCGTGACCGGACATTTTCTGCTCAAAATCGCCCAGATTCCAAGCCCGCTCGTGGAAGATGCACGTGGGAAGTGATGGAGATTAGAAGAGCCCGCAGTCCTTGAGGTTTTCTTTGATGATAATGTCTGTAACTGCGTCAAAGACAAATTTGACGTTTTGCGTGTCCGTAGCGCAGGTCATGTGACTGTAGATTTCTTTGACATCTTTTCGCATGTTGAGGTCAAGGAACTGGCTCTTGATATAGTTCCCTGCATCCTCATAAGAGTTGTTCCCTGGTTTTCCAGAAAAATAGTGAAGAAATGGGGTAAATTAACCCTTAGTTGCTCACTTACTTTTTAGGTGACTGACTTGACCCTCAAAGCGTTACAAGTCAAAACAAACGCTGTTTTGAAGGGAAGGCCCCTCCTGTATTGCACTCCAGAGTTTCTCGCTTGAGTTGAGCAAAGTAATCGAGGTGAGAGCTGCCTATGTCTCCACCCTTGGTTTCTGGTAGATTCTGTTGGAATAGGCAGTCGGTGGCTCTCCTGCATCTGACATCTGCTCTGTTCCAGAGACACCTGAATGTAAACCTAGCTCTATCCACTGAGCTAACCAGCTAGGGCGACGATTCTTTCTCATCATTGGTGTTTCTAACTCTCCCTCCCTCTCCCTTCCTCTCTCAAAGCAGTAAAAATAAACTTGAACAACCTGGAACTGGAAGCCCAGGTTTCTCAGCTGAGGCAGCCAAGTGTCACTTGGACATCACAGAGCTCCCGAGAGGAAGGAGAGCTAAGGGAGAAGGAGTCATCAACTTGGCACAGACGGGGGTTACTGAGTGCTCCTCAGAGACAAGTCCCTTCCTGTCTCCTTGCTGTGGGGAATGGCACCACCAGTCATCACTAAGAAAGCCTTACCTTGTCCCCAGCCCTGACACTTACCATCATACTCTGGGAAGCAAATGCTGAGATGCACCTTCTTGATTTTTTCCTCAAAGAGGTCCTTCTTGTTGAGAAAGAGGACAATGGACGTGGCCGCGAAGAACTTGTGGTTGCAGATGCTGTTGAACAGGTGCAAGGACTCATGCATACGATTCTAGGGGAGGAAAGACAGCAGAGACACCAGGCTGGGCTTATGGGATGGGTGTTTACCCCCTGCTCTGGGAGACACGAGTGCCAAATGCCAAAAGCAAGATAAGGAACAGCTTCTCTCTCTAGAACAGCCAACAGACTCTGGCTTCCTCCTGCTCTTCCTATCCTGGCCGTGTGACGGGGAGGATCATCGCGCTTTTCTGGGTCTGTCTCCCTATCTCGTATGGTTATTACACAGGTTAAATGAGGTCATGTATGGAACGTGCCCGTGATCGTAAAGGCCATGAATGTCACGCAGGTCTTTGGGAGCCAGGGCACACTAAGGATTGTGACATCCACACGCGCTACTGACCCAGGATTGAGACTGGGCCTTTGTTAGCATGTGCCCATTTGCGTCTCCAGGATGGGTTTTCGGGTTTTTTTTGTTTTTTAATATATTTTATTGATTTTTTACAGAGAGGAAGGGAGAGAGATAGAGTCAGAAACATCGATCAGCTGCCTCCTGCACATCTCCTACTGGGGATGTTCCTGCAACCCAGGTACATGCCCTTGACCAGAATCGAACCTGGGACCCTTCAGTCCGCAGGCTGACGCTCTATCCACTGAGCCAAACCGGTTTCGGCTCCAGGATGGTTTTGATGGGCTTCTGTGATGGGGTCCCAGGTCTCAGTTTGGGCAGGAATGTAAATGGTGCCGAACAGTGAGGGCGGGAGAGCCCGGTGCTACACCACAAGCACTTCTGCCACTTCCTTCTCTGAGCGCCACTGAGCGAGGAGAACGGGGGCTGTGTGTCTGCAGAGCCCAGAGGGGCCCGGGCCAGCCTGGTCTCGGGGAGCAGGCCACTGGGGTCTTGAAGGATGCTCTTAGCTAACTTGGCTCCATCTTTTCATCTAATGAGAAAGAAAACAAACGTAACGTGCAGCCTTTTGTCATTGCTAAGACTCCTGCAAAACCCTGTCAGACCTCGTAGACTTGAAGAGGTCTTGGGAAATGAGCGGCCCTGTGAGACGTTTCGCCAGAAGGTATCTAGGGTGCCCGGATGGAACGTGATCTAAGGAGACGGGAGAGAACCTGGAGCAGGGGCTAGGAGGCCACTCACCACCTCGTCGTCTTCCACCAGCACCATGTCGTAGGCGCTGAGGGCCGCACAGAAAATGATGCACGTGACTCCCTCAAAGCAGTGGATCCACTTCTTCCTCTCCGACCTCTGCCCTCCCACATCGAACATCCTGAGGGCGGAAAGCTGTCCTCCAGGCATGTGCAGGGATGGCCCCCAGGTCTGGTGTCCACCCCCAGGGAGGCAGCAGGTGGCAGTGAGAGGGACAGGGCAGGACACTGATTTAGGTGGGCTTTAGTGAAGGTCAGGACGCACACCGTGCCCTCTGATGTCAGAGGTGCTTTCAGGGTACCACGTTCTCACCTGAAGTTCAAGTCTTTGACGGAAAACTTGGTCTCGATGATGCCTGTGGTTTTGACTCTGGATCGTAGCACGTCTTGCTCATTGGGGAGGTAGTCGGGGGCCGCAATCCGGTCTAATTGGTTCAGGTAGCTAGAGAGCAGTGGTTGGCATCGGTGACATTAAATTTTCACAGCGAAGGCCAAGAAAGGTCAAGAACCTTACCCAAAGGCATACAACTAACTTGGCGGTAGAACCAGGACTAGAATCCAGATTGTTAAAGCCCTTCAGGTCCTTGGGTCTCCTCACCAGAGACAGTGTGGCGTGGGCTGGGGGCCACGTCCGTTTGAGGCAGCGGTTCCGCCCCATTGAAGTCACGTCAGGTAACTTCCATGCATTTCCCCTGGCTAAAGGGTTTTCTAGACTCTCGAATGAGGTGTGGTGGTTTTAAAGGTGCCAGGAGTTCCATCAAAAACATAGGAGTGGGTTAGGAAACTAGCACACATGAGACGCGAGTCACTGCAACATTTATATCCTGAATCTTGAATGAGTTGGAACCGTTGACATATTGGGGAAACTTGAATGAACACTGACTTGGCTACTTGATGACATTAAAGAATTTTAAATATTTAGTTGTAGTGATTATGTTGTGATTTATTTTTAAAAAGAGCCCTTATTTTTAGAGATACATAATGAAATGTTTAGGATGAAATGATAGGATATCTGGGAGTTACTTCAGTATAATCCAGTGGGGGGATGAAGATAAAATGAAATAAGAGTGGCCATGAGTTGATAACAGTGAAAGCCTGGTGATGCGTTGTATTATTCTACTTTTGTATATGTTTGCCAGTTACCATTTTTTTAAAAGTTCAGAAAAGAAGGTGGTGGCAGGAGGAAGGCAGATGTGAAGTGAAGGGACCGAGAGAAAGAGAGAAGGAAGGTTAACACCGGTTCCTACTGTATGCCAGGAATTTCACGTTTACATTCTCATTTGAACCTGGCTGGCGTGGCTCAGTAGTTGAGTGTTGACCTGTGAACCAGGAAATCACGGTTTGATTCCTGGTCAGGACACATGCCCAGGTTGGGGGTTTGATCCCCAGTGTGGGGCGTGCAGGAGGCAGCCGATCCATGCTTCTCTCTCATCATTGATGTTCTATCTCTCCCTCTGCCTTCCTCTCTGACATGTAATAAATAAATAAATTAAGCAGTAGGGAGCGTGGGAGCTGTGGCCCATGTCCTGACCTAAAGGCATTCCGTTCCGAGCACAAGTAAAATACCACTGAGGCCCAACAGGCAACAGGCCAAGTTCAGTCCCTGGGTCTCCCAGCTTTCAGTGCCTGGAACTTCAGGCCAGTGTGATGTCTCCTAGGAGGTGACAGACGCCTCATCCCGCCCCGTCCCCAGCGAGCCTTACTAGGCCGCCGAGTCATTGAGCTGGTACTCCGCCGCTCTGTCGAAGCAGGCCTGCACCCCGCCGTCCTGCCACAGCCTCCTGATCACCTCCACCAGCTCGGGGGGCATGGTGCCCTCCTCCAGGGAGTCGGCCAGGTTGTTGAGCTGCCGCCCGTCATCCTGTAAGGCAGAACCCTGGCTGAGAACCACAGGGAGTCCTGGCTTCCCAGGAGGCCTCTGGGAATTCTGCTGGAAGGGCAGCACTTTGCGTCGCTCCCAAAGCCTCCTGAGCCGGAGGCAGTGTCCAGGGCAGAGTCCACCTAAGAAAACACTAATTTCTGAGTGGGCTTCTGAGATGCAGAGGGTGGCCACGCATCCAGTCCTGGGGTGCTCGGCAGAGGGCCCAGGGGCTTCCTCTGGGTGTCTCCATCCTCCACCCTTAGGCCAGAGCATGCGCCCCAGCACGTGCCCTCTGCTTCGTGGAGACCGCGCATTCGCAGGGCAGACTGACGGAGAGGTGGGCACGAGGGAAGGCAGCAGCCTGTCACCTTTGTGAGGTGTAGGAAAAGGCCAACCCTGGAACGAGGGGTTGAGCTTGTCACAGTCCCATGGCCGGGCGAGGAGCCCAAGGAGCTATTTAAATGGTAAAGTAAGGCAAAGAACATTTACGGTAAAGGTAGGGAGTGCAGCCCAGCTGGCGTGGCTCAGGGGTTGAACATTGACCTAGGAACCAGGAGGTCATGGTTCGATTCCCAGTCAGGGCACATGCCCGGGTGGTGGGCTCGATCCCCAGTGTGAGGCCTATAGGAGGCAGCCAATCAATCATTCTCATCATGGATGTTTCTCTCTCTCTCTCCCTTACCCTCTGAAATCATTAAAAACACATTTTTTAAAAAGGTAGGAATTGCATGCTTCTCCAGATGTGCACTCGCCTTCCGAACTAAAAAGATTGGAAACTCAGCAGGTGGGATTCTAGTTACACCAACTTTTCGGACCTGTGGTTCCTCCCAGCCTGTTGGCCGCTGGTCTGCTCCTTGTTAGCCTACCTCTCCCTCCAGGCTCACCCCCATCCCGTCGGGCACCCACCGCACAGCTCAGCTGGGCATAGTCGATGCCCAAGGTGGACATGGCGCGGACGATGGCCAGGATGGACTGCAGCACGTTGCCGTAGATGACGGACTTGTACTCCAGGCATTCCTCCGGCGAGTAGCCGTCCTGGTGAATGATCCTGCGGGAGTGCACCCAGCCCTCAGCGGGGCCTGAGCAGCCAGGCCTAGGGGCTGCAGATCTGGGGGGCTCTACAGCAGTGCTTCCCAGTGTGGGCACACGCCCCACAGGGGGGCAATTCGAGAATGGGGTATTCACAGTGCATTTTTTTCATTTCTTATGGTTCTAGGGGCCTCATGTACAGTATATAAATATATATATTGTGCCCTGGCCGGTTTGGCCCAGTGGATAGAGTGTCAGCCTGCAGACTGAAGGGTCCCAGGTTTGATTCTGGTCAAGGCACATGCCTGGGTTGCGGGCTCGATCCCCAGTAAGGGGCGTGCAGGAGGCAGCCAATCAGTGATTCTCTCTCATCATTGATGTTTCTATCTCTCTCCCTTTCTCTCTAAAATCAATAAAAATATATAAAATATATGTATATATAGTATTGTGATATATTTATGCATTTCAGTTCTCTGTTATATGTTTTGAAACTTTGCTATTTTTTCATATCACTTCATATTTTTTTAAACAATTTTCTAGGGTTTTCTTCCTCAGTACTTCAGCTGTCCTTTTGTTCTTTTTTTTTTTTTTTTTTTTTAAATATATATTTTATTGATTTTTTACAGAGAGGAAGGGAGAGAGATAGAGAGTTAGAAACATCGATGAGAGAGAAACATCGATCAGCTGCCTCCTGCACATCTCCCACTGGGGATGTGCCCGCAACCCAGGTACATGCCCCCGACCGGAATCGAACCCGGGACCCTTCAGTCCACAGGCCGATGCTCTATCCACTGAGCCAAACCGGTTTCGGCCTTTTGTTCTTTTATTTTTGTCTTTCACGGGTGTCATGTTCTTTGGAAGCTTGTTTAGACCAAGTGAATGGCCTTTTAAGCTTCCTCCACGTGAGTAGGATTCACTTTTTGAATAGTAAGAATTCTAGCCCTGACCGGTTTGGCTCAGTGGATAGAGCGTCGGCCTGCAGACTGAAGGGTCCCAGGTTCGATTCCGGTCAAGGGCATGTACCTTGGTTGCGGTCACATCCCCGGTTGGGGGTGTGCAGGAGGCAGCTGATCGATGTTTCTCTCTCTCATTGATGTTTCTAACTCTCTATCCCTTTCCCTTCCTCTCTGTGAAAAATAAATAAAAAAACATATATTTAAAAAGAAAAAAAAGAATTCTGTCGGGAGGGTGGGGGGGCATCAGGGTTTTAGAGATGATTAGGTGGGGCGTGGCCTGAAAGGCTTGGAACCACTGCTCTAAAGGTTCATAAGAACCTGATCTCTGTTCCAGAGTGGAGAGTTAGAGGGGCTTGGGTCCCTTCTATTGACATCAGGGTTCCTTAAGGCCCAGGCGCCCCTCCCCCCCTCTGCCGGCCCTGCCACTCCCGCGCCCACCCCGTCCTCTGGGGCTTCGCTCACTCACTTCATCTGCTTGACGATGGTGCTCTTCCCCGACTCCCCGGCCCCTGTGGGAGAAGTGCTCTTGCTCCAGATGTGCACCAGCCTCCCCCCAACCCCTACCCCTGTCCGCCCCTCCCCCCTACAGGGCACAGCACGGGGAGGAGGGCCTGCCAGCCTGAGCTCAGGCCATGGACAGCAGGGTCCTCGCTGTGGGCGTCTGGGTGGGCGTCTGGGCTGGCGCTTCTTGGTTGGGGAGGGGTCTCCCGCGCATTGAGAGTGTCCAGCAGGGTTCCGGGCCACCACCCACTGGCCGTCAGTGGCACTCCATGCTGGCAGTCGTGACAGCCACACGTGCCATCAGACATTTCCAGATGTCCCCATGGGCGGGGGCGGGGCAGCCTCCTTGGAACCCCGGTAGTCGGGAATTCCTTGACCACCCCCTTCTCTCCGACCCTTTCACTCAGGAGCGAGAACTCGGACAGGATTGGAGGGAGCTGGATCCCTTCACTGAAATGCTGTTTTTTTCCATCGTGGTGTTTCCTTTATTGACAAAAATGCGCTAATATCCTCCTTCACGCTCCGCTCTCCCTCCATCGACACCCACAGCCCTCCGGCCCTCCCCCCGCCTGGGCTGCTCGCTCTAGTCTGAGCGGCTTATCCTGAAGGTGGAAGAAACTGATTAGGCTTAAAAGATCCCAGCTGGCCATGCTCTTCCCCTGCCTCCCTCCTCGGGGCCCAGGGACAGAGGTGTGCTCCTCCAGGGCGTCCCCAGGGCCGGGCCACACGCCCGCAGGGTGGGGCGGGCCTGGGCTTGCACACCTGCCCAGCTGCCCTCCGCACGGCCCCACCCACCCGGCGGCCACTGTGGTTTTCCTGAGCCAGGTGGCCGAGCTCTACTGTCTTGGCTCTATTTACAGCCGCGACTAGTGTCTGCCTGACCACCCAGGTGCTGGTCTCTCTTCAGCCCAAACCCCTCATCTGCTTAGGAGCTCCTCAGGGTAGCAGCCTCCAGCTGAAGGCCCGGCCTCCCCTGGGGCGCCTGCTCCTGCTGTTTCTACTGAGAGCGAGGAGCCGGGCCTGGCAAGTGGGCCCGTCCCTGCACCTACATGACACCGACGGTACACAAGGCAGGCCTTGCACGTCCGCCATCCTCCGGAGTCCTGGGCTCCGAGTCCTCTGGCTGCGTGTGGGGCCCCGTCCGCAAGCCCCGAGGTGTTGGGTTGGGTTAGGTTCAGAGATGGGCGGGGCCATCCTGGCCCTGGTTCTGCTCCTGGTCCAAAGACTAGCAGAACCATCCCAGCGGAGCTTTGGCACCTGCATCTAGAGCTCCTGACCCCCCAGCCCGAGACTGGAATGGGAGAGGGACAGTGACCTGCCTGTCCTCCCGCCTGTGGGGTGGGCTGGAGCCCATCTCCGCCCGGACTCCGGCTAAGCTGGACGGAGCGGGCCTTGTCCTTCCCCGGCTCATCTCCCCACCGCCTCACCCAGCAGCAGCAGCTTGACGGTCTTGGCCTCCTTGTCTGCGTCCTCCTGCAGCTTCCGTTCTAGCTCCTTGGACCGCTTGGCCAGCTGTCTGTCCTCAGCACTGACTCCGCTCCCCATCGCCCCCTGTCTCCTCTGGCAGCTTCTCCTCTGGGGTCTCCGGGTCTGGGAGGAGGAAGGTAAGGGAGCAGTAAACTGGGGTGGAGTGTCAGATCCGCAGGCCTGAGAGGCGGGTCTGCAGGGGCCTGGAGAGGGAGGTCTCGTCCCTGCCCCAGCTGGAGAGCTGCTTAGGCTGGGGATTGCGGCCTTTACATCCAGCGCTGTGATGGCCAAGCCAATTAAGAGCTCAGTATGGCAAAGGGCAAAGACTCCGTGTTTCTGTGACCAGGGAGGTAGCCCGCTGGGTTCGGACACGAGAACAGGGTGCGGGTGCCCCTCCTTTTCAGGGGCTGACCCCCTAAAAGTCTCTTTCACAGAGATTCTGGGGTCTTGTTTCAGGCACCGAAGCACACCCCTCCATCTTCCATCACCGCAGGCGGCCCTGGCGAGGGCTTTTTGTTTGGGGAGCTGCCCTTCCTTGGGAAGATTAGAAATGTTTTTTCCAGCCCGGCTGGCGCGGCTCAGTGGTTGAGCCTTGATCTATGAACCAGGAGGTCAAGGTTGGGTTCGAGTCCCGGTCAGGGCACATGCCCGGGTTATGAGCTCAATCCCCAGTGGGAGGCATGTAGGAGGCAGCCGATCAATGTTTCTCTCTCATCATTGATGTTTCTCTCTCTCTCCCTCTCCCTTCCTCTCTGTAATCAATAAAAATACATTAAAAATAAAAAAGAAATGCAGACACTGAGGCCTTACCCCAGACCTTCTCAGAAGCTCCCTTTTTGGCAGGATCGCAAGTGATTTCAAGGACAGGGAAGTGCCGCCGGGGAGGCCAGGGCCTTGGTGTTCCCTCGCACCTGCCTAATGATGAGACTCACCTGAGTGCTTGTATTTCATCAGAACCCCGGTGCCACCGATGGGAAGGAGATCATCTGATTTAAAAGATGTTCAAATGGCCAAAACCGGTTTGGCTCAGTGGATAGAGCGTCGGCCTGCAGACTGAAAGGTCCCAGGTTCGATTTCGGTCAAGGGCATGTACCTGGGTTGCGGGCACATCCCCAGTGGGAGATGTGCAGGAGGCAGCTGATCGATGTTTCTCTCTCATCGATGTTTCTAACTCTCTATCTCTCTCCCTTCCTCTCTGTAAAAAATCAATAAAATATATTAAAAAAAAAAAAAAAAAAGATGTTCAAATGTTATACGTTTTTTAAAAGGGTGTGCTTTAGGATCCATAAGTTCCAGTAATAATGCCAATTCCAGAGCCTGAGCAACTGTATTTTACACTAATATAAAGAGTTATCGTCACATGGCAAGTTTGAAAAGCCCTGACCCAGAACAGTGGTTCTCAACTTTTGGTATGCATTGGAGTTGACGTAAAGAGCTTTAAAAAAAAAAAAATACTGATTTAATTGGTCTGGAGTGCAGTCCAGACATGAAGATTTTTCTTTCCTTTTTGAAATAAATATTTTTTTATGGATTTCAGAGAGGAAGGGAGAGGGAGAGAGAGAGATTGAAGAGAATCATTGATCAGCTGCATTCTGCATGCCCACCCCCCCCTTCCCCCCCACCACCACCATTCTCCCCACTGGGGATCCAGCCCACAATCTGGGCATGTGCCCTGACCGGAAATTGAGCCTTTACCTCCTGGTTCATAGGTTGACGCTCAACCACTGAGCCACGCCGGCTGGGCCAGGCATGAAGATTTTTAAATTTTCTCTATGATTCTAATGTGCAGCCAAAGCAGGGAACCATTGAGCTCAAAGGATTTCACTTTCTCTGTCCTTTTAGAGCTGGGACAGTGCAGCGGTGGCCTGTGGGACTGAGAGGGGGAGGTAGGACCTCGGTCTCCCACCTGCCAGGAACCCTGAGCACCTGCCGCCCCGCAGCTGCGTATCTGGGGATCTGAGAAGCACTGGGCCTGGGCCCAGACTCTCGGGGCTGATGGAGAACTAGGCAGCCACCAAGGTGCCGCCACAGTGACCGTGTTTTCCCAGCCAAAAATGGACACGTGCTCAGCGACAAGGGAAAACAGGAGAGTGCCCTTGAAATGGTGACTGTCCTGGAATCTTGGCTGTAAGGTTTCAGTAATACCTGCCCTAGCCCACCAACAGTGTTGGCAACTTACACCGGGGCCAGAGCTGTGCTGTGCCCTGCACTATCCACAGCAAGGAGCAGCCAGGGCCTGTACTAAACAGTTTGTGGGGCTCAGATCAATTCATTCTCACAGTAACTTCAAGCTGAGTGCTCTTGTCCCCATTTTACAGGCCGGATAACTGAGACTTGGGGGTTAAGTCACTTGTTCAAGGTCACAAAGCTTAGTAAACAGACATACCACCTTCTCTTTCTATTGCCCTCGAATAAGCGGCCAAAGAAAGAACACTTGGGGGGGAAAAAAAAGACCACGGCAAAACAGGCAAACGCAGGATCTTAATCACAGCTGTCCGTGCCTTGTTAAAGGAACCTGACTTGTTTCACAACCGGGGAAAATGCTTAGCTTGTTCCTTTTTCAGCTGCCACCTCTGCAAACTTCCGTGCTGCTTCTGCATGCTTCCTGCTTGCTGGCTCCCCTTCCCCACGACTAAGCTGAGCAGGGGAACTCCTGATCCTCACCTGGTCTGCTTGCACAGACCCGCTACTGCGCTTGCACCACGCGGACGCCGGTGGCCTGCCTCGGCCTCCAGCTCCTGTGCCTTCCCTGTGGCAGCTCTCCGTTATCATCGCATTTGGGTTCAGTGCCCTGGTGGAGTCAGTAGAGCATGTAGGTGCCATTCCCATTTCAGAGGGGAGTGAACAGAAGCAGAGAAAGGTGATCCTCATAGTGCTAATGGCATTGGGGTTTGGGGGTTCCCCAAGATAGAAATCGAGAGGAAACCCCAGAGAAATTTCCAGACAGATTTTATTAAGCTTACACTTGAGCACAAGGAAAGCAGTACGGAGCTGGCTTCATGGCTGGCTCTGTTTGGCCGCTTTTATAAGCTGGGGACAAAGCGGGCTTGTGCAAAAAGAAAGATGGGCTTGCTGGGAAAGGCGGCTTGTGAAGGGTTCAGGGGGTGGAATTTAACGTGTCAGGGTGGGGTTACTTCCTCCTTCTTTTGGGTTGCTTGGCAACTATCTCCGGCCTGTGCTGTGCGGGCAAGATGGTGGCATTGCTCATTATCGCCACTGCTGGAAGGTTGCATAGCGGACAGACCTTGATCAACTGAGCATGCCCCAGATGTGGTTTCGACATCGTCTGGCCACCTGGTTTTAACTTGTCTTCCTGGCCATCTGGTATTTTTTCATTCCTGGGCCCAAGTCCTTATCCTGCCTCATTTCCCCCGGGAGGTTTTATCCTCCTTATTCTGAAGGGATTAGGGTCAGAGGTCTCCGGTGACTGCTTCCTGCTGAGGGAGGACTACAATTCTCTCGCTGTCTCATTTGAAGAGCAGCAAGGGCTCGGGTCTTCCTTGTCCGGGATGGGCTGGCGGCCTGGCATGACCATCAGCTTCATGAACATGGAACTGTTGCCATCTGGAGGAGACAAACTACGAGAAGGTTAAAGAGACCAGGCCCAAATACCAGTGGGAGTAGAAGGACCATTGGGGCACAGAGGGGAAAGCCAGGAAAGTGAAGGCAGGTCACCATGAATGGATTCCCAGATTTGATTTGGGTTGTGCTTTTTTTTCTTCTCTTTTTTTTTAGCAAGATTTTGCATTTATTTTTCAGTTTTGAGTGGTTGCTTGCAACCAAATGAACAAATGTTTTCAAAATACCAAGAGCTTTATGTTGGGCAGGTCCTCAGCGTTCACAGCATTTATCTCAGCTCTGGAGTCCTCTCAGCAGCCGATACAGCAGCATTGTGTTCTGACTGAGTGCTGGTGTTCAGGGTATACTCCTTTAAAAAAGAAACATTTTCATTGACTTCAGAGGGGAAGGGAAGGGACAGAAAGATAGAAACAGTAATGATGAGAGAGAATCATTGATAGGCTGCCTCCTGCACGCCCCCCTACTAGGGATCGAGACTACAACCCCGGCATGTGGTCCCGACCGGGAATCGAACCAGAGATCCAGAGTCTATGTGTGTCTCTTTTAAACATGACATTCCAGTCAAAGCCTCTTCAAAACTTTCCAATTGTGTCCCATTATAAAGAGAACAGATTCCTATAGGATTTATGCCAGTAGCCATATTCCCATGAAAATAATGATACTCATTCAGAATTTCCGAACTTCTGTGGGATTAGGTAGAGAGAAAAATATAAATGTTTCACTATTATCTACAGAGATATAATTTACCAAACTGTTGTAAGTCATAGGTAGTTTAAGAGAAAACAAGCTTTCTTATACCCGGAAAGCAAAAAGGTTAAAAATCAATATTTCCAACAAAAAGTTATAAAAATTACAATCATTTTCAGTTCATTCAGCCCCATAGAGTTAATTCTTGTTTATTTGGTCACCTGCCAGTGTTCCCTAGCATTCTATAGATCCTCATCCAGTGTAAAGATCTGATCCAAAAATTCTTAGAAACCTGAATTTTAAAATAAGCCAGAGTCCTCTCCATGTATCTTCCTGGAGATGAAATATATTTGCAAAAGCATCAGACTCAACAATGACTGTCATTAAAGGACAAACATGTTAATGAGGTGGTAACAGAACCCAGGGAGGTGTGGGTTGAACTCTGACCCTTTGCCATGTGGATTCCTCTCAGGCACTGACAGAGGCGACCCCCACAGGCTCCCATGGCCAGCTGTCTGCCATGTCCCATGAAAGCCCCCCCCCCCCACCCCCGCAGGAGTGTGTGAAATCCCCACGTCCCTGGGAACTTGCTCCAGGGACGCCAGGGAGAGAGCTCGGGGTCAGAAGGAGTGTGCTGTGCTCACCAAGAAGCGTAAAAGTCAAACCATTTAAAACAAATAACAGCGTGGGACGAGGTGGCCGAGTGGTTAAGGCGATGGACTTCTAAAACAAATAACAGAAACAAACAACATATTTCACTTACATGCCTACCTGCATTCACACCCCCCCCCCCCCAAACAGTCAATACTTTCAGGTTTCATTTGCCAGCTTTAGATCAAATCTAAAACCAGTTTCAAGTTAAAAACAAAAGTCTACAGCCTGGTTGAGACACAGACTTAACAAATAACAGATACAGTTCCAGGATCAATTACCTCATTTTCTCACCGTAAAATGAAAGCCCTGTTGGTCAGCCTGCAGGGTCAGCGGGGAGCACGCAGGTCCGGCTCTGGCACAGCCAGCTCAGGAGAACCTTGGCGATCGCCACTGGCCAGGGTCACTCCACTGCGGGCCGAGCGCTCACTCAGGACGACGTCCCTTCATAGTTACCATTTAAAAAAATTTCTTTAAAATATATCTTTATTGATTTCAGAGAAGAAGGGGGAGAGAGAGAGAGAGAGAGAGAGAGAGAGAACATCACTGATGAGAGAATCATTGACCAGGCCTCCCACAATTCCCACTGGGGATCAAGCCCACAACCTGGGCACGGGCTCTCAACGGGAATCAAACCTGGGACCCTTCAGTCTGCAGGCTGATGCTCTGTCCACTGAGCCAAACCAGCTAGGGCCATCGTTACCATTCTTTTTGATCCCCAAGAGAATATTGGGGCCAGACCACATTGCAAAGGAAAACCAATATTGAATTTTTTTAGTGTTGAAGAGAGTAGCCCAGCAAGTAGCCAGGGTGTCAGTAAGTCCATCTCCTTGTGTGGAAACAGGTACACAAACAGAACACAAACCAATGTCTGGGACTCTAACCTGAGACCCTGTGGACGGACAGAGGGAAACAATCTGTCTGCCCAACAGTATAACTACAGGGGGACTTGAACCCACTTTCAGGAACGCAAGGACAAGGCAAAACAGTCGCCGGGGAAGAGAAAAGGACAAACTGGCCAGAGGAGAGGCCTAGGAGCATCGGAGACAGACTCAAAGGCCCAGGTTTGACCCCTCGTGACGTGTGCTCTGGCTCTGTCCTGCTGCTGTAGGGACACGAGGGGTCCCGCTGAGTTGCCACGAAATGTTACCAGTGTTGAGGTTCTCAGATTCCCCAAGACAGAAATTGGGAGGAAACCCCAGAGAAATGTTCCGACAGATTTTATTAAGATCGTGCTCGAGCACAGGGGAGGCAGCACAGAGGAAAGGGAGGCCCTCTGACCTGGCTCCAGGCTGGCTCTTCGTGGCCCAACCTGACCAGCTGTGCAGGAGGAACAGTGGTTTTCACATCTTCTGACCACGGTCTCCACGTGGCTTCCGGGACACTGGGTATTTTTCCATTCCCAGGCCCACGTCCCTGTACTGCCTCAATATCAATAAACGACTTAGCATCAGAATCAGCTAGCCCTCAGGTGCCCTAGTTCACAGCCCTTATAACCAAATCCTTTTCAGTGAAAAAAAGAACCACCATTTCCGAATGAATTTGACCCTGTTTCCTGAGCTGAGGGGCGATCTCAGGATCTTCTTACACCCCGTGGTGGGGACTTGAGTACAGCTTTGTCCCAGTTGGAGTGGGACAGGGGAGAGAGAGATGAAGAACGGGGAACTGCCTTCAGGTCCACAGGCAGAGGTGGGGTAAACTCACAGAGAAACAACTTGATTGAAGGAAAACTGTGCAAGTGCTGGAGAATTCAGAGCTGCTGCAAGCTAGTCTCCACCCCGGGAGGAAAGGCAGCAATTCACACGGCGGACTGTCCGACTGCTCAATTCTACAGCAGGAGGAAGGAGGGAGTGACGGTAAATGAACAGACTTTCGCCAAAGAAGCAGAACACAGTGGAAATGGGGGACAGGCATTTCCGGGAGAGGAGAGAGCGTGAGAAAAGGAAGGCATGAGGCCCAGGGTACACAGTGTGCTCAGAGAAGCCTGGGAAAGCCCTCGCCGGTCTGGCTCAGTGGATAGTGTTGGCCTGCAGACTGAAGGGTCCTGGGTTCGGTTGATCCCTAGTCGGGGCTGTGCAGAGGCAGCTGATCATCACTGATGTTTCTATCTTTCTCCCTCTCCCTTCCTCTCTGAAAGCAATAAAAAAAGTATTTTTTTTTTTTTTTTTTTATAAAGAGAGAAGCCTAGGAGGTCTGATGTGACTGGATGGAGGAAAAGAGTGAGGTGGAGGGGAGGCCGGGAGCTTCGGACAGGAAAGGGAAATTGGGGCTAGCCGGTGAGGGCCTTGAAGGACAAAGTGTTTGGCGAAAACTCGCGGGAGACTTATAAACAAGCACAAATGGACACAGCTGCGAGGTGCCATAAACAACGCTGGGTGCCTGGGATGGGGGTGGGCAGCTGCTGGGACAAGCCGGGAAACTGGAGCTGAATAGCTTGGTTCCAGAAGGATCTAGGCATGGAGTATGGTTTGAGAGATGGTGCTGGCCCAGGATCTTCTTGAGGCCGAACGTGTTCTCTACTGAGTCTCCTATCTGCAGAGGGTGGTCTGGCCCAGAGGGAAGGCTGACGCCACACATGAGCTCAGGCCAGACGGAGCTCAGAGAAGCAGATCTTGGGGAATGAAGAAGCGCACCGTCGGGGGCCTGGGCGCGGGGGAGCCATGTAAGGGCCATGTGGTGAACGGGCTAGGAGGGGAGGAAGCTGTGTTTAGAGCTGGGGTGGGATCCCAGAGGCGCCAAGACAACATTGACACCCCAACATGAAAAAAGCCCAGGCCATAGGGGATGGCTCACTCCTTCATTTCCCTAACTCTGTTCCACGCAGACAGGGACACCCCACGGAGATTCTTGCTGGTGTGTGTAGGTGGGGAGATTGATGCTTAGCTGTAATCAGGGCAGACTTCCTAGCAGAGACAGCTCACCAGATGGCCTGGAAATGGGGAGGGTGACAGGGTGAAGGGTGTGTTGCACGTGGGACTAGGGAGGAGCGTGAAGGAACTAGTGAACCGGTTTGCCTGGGTAGGATGGAGGCAGGGATTGCAAACTATGGGCTGCTTAGGTAGGTAAATAGGTAGGTAGGTCTGGATTAAGGGGGAATCCTAAAGAGACCTGGCCCAATGCAAGGTACCACCCCTTAAAACTATGTCGAAATTTGCATTTTATCAGAATATAGTTGGCATTCTACGGGGTTACCTGGTGCTTGATTTTTAATTCTAAAACGTATTGTACTATTTATTGTTGGGAGCCCAACAGCCTTGAAATGCCTAAGGGCTCCAAGACCAGTTCAGTCTGGGGTTGAGACTCAGGAGGGTCAGTTGGGAGCGGGGGATGGAGGCTGTTAAAGATTGTTACAGACTTGGTTTTTATTCCCTTTCCCTTGATTATACACGTAATGAATATGGTCATTTTTAAATGCAGATAAGTATAAAGAAGAAAATAAATACAAGCCATAATTCTGCCACTCACAGGTAATCATTTGTGAATGTTTTGGTGTGTTTATTTCTTATGTCACGCAATTAGGGCCATACCATGTGCACCGATTTTAACATCCATTTTTTCATTTCACTTTACATTGCAAACATTTCCACCTGGGTAAGACATTCTCTGAGGATCATTTGTAATGGCTGTGTTTCACTGTGTGTCTGTGACCTATCTGAACATCCCCTTACTGTCCCGCCTTTAAGCGGCCAGCCCTTCGTGTGATAACCATCGCAGAGACTAACAACTTCATGCATGTTTTTTATTTTTATTATTTTTAAAAATATATATATATATATTTTGTTAATTTCAGAGAGGGATAGAGAGACAGAGGCATCAATGATGCCTTCTACTGGGGCATGTGCCCTGCCTGGAAACCCGATCTGTGGGTTCATAGGTCGATGCTCAACCCTCAACCACTGAGCCACACCGGCCAGGCACTGGCAGCTCTTTTTAGAAGCACAATCCCCTGGAAAAGGAGATTACTGGGTCAAACAAATGAATTTTTAAAAGGTTCTTGATCTTACATTACGCAATGGCTTTCAGAAGATTCCGTCAATGTTTATGCCCCCAGCAGTGTATGTGTGTCTCTCAGCTCACTAACTACTCTTGCCTATGTCAGGACTCCCCCCTCAACCTTTCCTGATTCAGTGGGTGAGTGCTCTCTCCTGGTCCTATTTTTACTCGTATTGATTCTTTGTGAGGTGAGCTTTCTCCCCCATGTGTACTGAGGCCTTTGTTTTTTTCCGTTTGTCCAGCGTGGGGAGCAGTAGGCAGGGGTCAGCGGAAGTGAGGCCCGTCGCAGGCAGGCTCGGCTCAGTGTCCAGCCTGCAGCCCGCAGAGAGATGGGGGCGGCAGAGTTCGGGAAGGAATTGGCTGTGGGGGTGGTGAGAACTGGGAGGAGCTGGACAAGCAGCTTTAGTACAACTGGGTGTGGGGGGCAAAGGGCTCCCACAAGGTGAAGAAATCGGAAAAAGATGAATTGCCTCTAATACACTTAATTACGTCCAGTGACGTCCTGGGGAATTCCCCAGCAAGTCCCTTTGGGTAGGATTCTGGGCCACTTGGGAGTGAGGGTGCTGGTTGGGGGGGAGGGGGTGTCTGTAGTCCCCCAAACAGCCCAAGTCTACTTGCGTGTGGGCTGCGAGGTGAATCAACCCGTGGGAGTGTTAACAGGGAACCAACGCCAAGGCCAAAGCCATAAAACACAAATATTAACGGGGTAGTAACTGCAGGCCAGGCCCTGTGCTAGGCGCTCACATCAGCTCGTTTATCCCAACCACCAGCCTGGAAAGCGGGGTCTCTTCCACTCGCTCTACAGACGAAAATAGTTCAGCTAAGTTAAGTAACTTTCCCGAAGGCGGCCAGGAAGCAGGCGGGGGAGTCCGGAATGGAGCCCGGGCGTGCTGGCCACACAGCCCAGCTCGTAACCTACAAATATAGAACCAAATGTGGGAAGGGGAGCCAGGACGCAGGCACACCCTGCCCGCCTCCGCCTGCCAGGAGGAAACAGACACCGGGGAGAACGCCGGGGGCAGGGCTCCTGCTCGCCGCGGGCCCCGGCACCGGAGGGCGGCCCGTCTCGCGCTGGGTGTGGACTTGGTGCCATCGCGCCTCGAGTGAGGTCGTGCGATTGCTCCATCCCGGTGCGCGGCGCGGAGCTGACGCACGGAACTCGCACTGAGCCCCGCGGGCGGACGGCGGGGCCGCGGCCCACGTGGTGCTGGGAGCGGAGCCGATGGCGGGGGCGGGGCCGGCCGCGCGGGGGCGGGGCCGGGGCTGCGGGACGCGGGCCGGCGGGCCGGGTGTCGGTGGGGTCGCACCTGTTGCGTCAGTCCCCGGCGGGCCGCTGCGGGGGGCCGCCCCCCGGACACCCGGAGAGCGCGCCGAGCAGCCCAGCCGAGCCCCGCCCCGCCCCGCCGGGAGCACGTGGCCGGCCCGCCTCTGCCGCGGGGCCGGGGGTCTCCCAGCCAGTGCAGCCGCCCGGGTCCGCCCCCTGCCAGCTGGCAATTTTGAAAGACCAGCCTTCCTGCCCCCATCTCGGTGCCAGGGCCGGGGCTCCTGGAGCGACTGGGCCGGGGTCTGGGCTCCGGCTGCCGTCCCCTCCCTCGCGACCCGCGCTTCCCGGCGGTGCAGACCCCGGCTGGCGGCCTCCGGGTCCCCCCCGGGCGCGGCAGCATGGCCTCGGGTGAGTGTGTGTCGGTGCTGGGGGAGGGTCTCCGGGATGGAGCCGTGCCGGGGCCGGGGCGACGCGAGGATGGGGACCCGGGGAAGGCGGCCAGCGCCCCGCGGGGCCGGCCCGGAGCGCCGAGCCTGGTGCGCAGAGACGGAGGGAGAACGAGGGGAGATACCGCGTCTCCTTCCCAGGCGCCCGGGAGCCCGCCCCCGCCTCCCCGCCTTCCAGAAGGTGGCGGGGCCGGGCAGTGGAATTTCCCCAGGACGGCCCCTCCCCACCGGACCCGGTTCTGGGTTCTACCCCTTCCTCCCCGAGCTGGCGGCCCCGGGGCTGGGGTTCAGGGAGAGAAGGAAAACCCGGGACTCTGGCCCGGAGGGCTGCGGGTTCCGGACCGCGCCTGCCCTGAGCCAAATGCGCTCTGAGCGCGGACTGGGTTCTTGTTTATTTTTAATTTTTTCTCTCCAGGGCGGGCTGGACCAGCTCGCTGGACTTTGAGTCCTGGCCCCGGAGCCCTGGCCGGGGACGCGGGCTCCGGAGGGGGTTGGCGGCGTGCTGGGGGCCGGCCCTTCCCGGTCGTGTTCTCACCTCCACACCCCGGGCCCACGTCACCCCAGGGATGAGGAGGGGAGGGGAGGGGAGCGGAGGGGGGAGGCGGGATCGCGGGCGGGATGGCGGCCCCCCTGCGGAGGTTGCCTAGACAACACGAGGAATCGTGGCCGGGGCCTCTTCCGCCGGCGGGGCCGCGGCTTCCTGCCTCAGTCACTCCCGCTGGGGGCGGGGCGGAGGAAGGGGTTGGATGTGGCCGGGGCTGGCCCAGCTGGTGCGGCTCTGACTCCCCCGCCATCACCGCGGCCAGAGCCATGGCATCCTATCCATCCGGCCCGGGCAAACCCAAGGCCAGATATCCCTTCAGGAAGCGTGCCAACCCGCAGGCCGCCCCTGCAGGACCAGGTGAGTGCGCATCCTGGCCCGGGCGCCGGCCCCGCTCCACCACCTCGCGCCCGGCCCCTGGCCCCTCGGAGGGAGGAGGCCCCCCTGCACCCTCTCTGCGGGGATGCGCCTTGTCCTCAGCCCCAGCTGGCGTGGGCGGGGTGTGGGGAGAGGTGGGGTGGCGGGCCGCCGGTTCCCGTGCCAGGGACGCCGGACTCTACAGGGAGTGGGTGTGGGTGTGGGTGCAGCAAGAGGTGTATTTGCACACGTGTCAGCATGGACAGTGCCGGGACTGTTTGCATGTGGAGTGTGTGAGCGGAGGGGGGGCGGGCGGTGTGGACTGGCCAAGCTGCTGGCGGCTGGGCCTTTGCCAGGCAGGCTCAGGCTGTCTTCCTGAGGCTCGGCCCTCTTGCCAGGACCCCAGATCTCAGCCCCCCTCCCTGGGGGGCTGGCATTAGGGCACACACATTGCTGCCGGGAGTCCCAGGGCTGGGGCTCCACGGTATGGATCGTTGATCGTGTGCTCATTCTTGGTCCGTCTTGTGAGCTTCCTCAGAAGTGTGGGGTGTCCTTGGGTCCAGCCGTGGGGGGCTCAGGCCGGCTGTTGCCCAACCGCTGCGCTCCGCACCCTTTGGTTCGGCTCCCGCTCTGGTAGGCGTCTCTGCACCATTTGGAGCAGGCAGTGGTGCGGCTGCCTGGGCTGTGCTTGCTGAGGGATACCTGCCTGCTCTTTGCTGTCCCCAGGCCTTGTGGCTAAGGAAAGACCACCCCCACTTTGTGACCAGGTCAAGCCAGCCAGCCCCCCCCCTCCCCCAGCAGCTGTCTGTATCTGTAGCCTGGCCATCCACCTTCCGTGTTTTCTTAGACATGGAGGATGCTGGCCCAGTCTGTCCTGAGGGTCTGTGTTCTCTGTGCTCAGGTCTCTGCAATCGGAGGGTGACCCCGGGGGGGGGGGGGGGTCTGTATACTCTGGGGTGGTCACACAGGGGACCATCTGCTACGTGTAGGTCAAAGCCTCTGGCACCTTTCTGCCCACGGAGGCAGTCCTTGCAGTGAGTGAGGGCCTCCCAGTTAAGAGGGTGGGCGGGATGCCAAGGCCCTTGGAGTTGGAGTGGCTGGCTTTTGGTTGACCCCCAGCCCCGTGAGAGGGTATGTGACATATGGTGCCGTGGCTCGGACGCTGGGAGAAGGGAGTGCGGAGGTCACTGTCTGTCTGTCACCTCCAGTGCGGTGGCCTGGCAGGAACCGGTCCGGTTACCCCCAGCATTTCTGTGGAGGCCTGGGCCACCCCGCTAGGAGAGGAGGGTGAGATTGGCGCCTGTGACTCACTCTGCTGACCCCTCACAGACCACGCCCAGGCCTGTGGTTGGCCTCCCTGGAGGGGTTAGAGGTGGGGAGCTGTGTAAGGTCAGAGTTCATGGGCAGGCAAGGACCTTCGGCTCTTACATCTGGGGGCGGGATAGGTGCCTGTCTTCCCTCCTCTTCCTGCCCTGCTCCCTTCCAAGTTAGAGGTAATGTCTCTCCCCCTCTCACCACTCCCCCCGCATCTCCACCCCTGGCAAGTGTGTCCCCTGCTGTCATTCACTGCTCGGCTGCCTTGGCCTGTGCTGGGCCCAAGAACCCCCACCCTCCCCAGTGGGTGGGACTGCGTGTGGGATGTGTTTGGAGGGTCCCAGGGGTTGCTAATCGCAGATTAGGGTGCAGCGTATCTCTGCGAGCCTTATGGCAGCTGTGGCCGGCAGGACGTGACCTGCTATCACCCCCCATAGACAGGACTGAAGCCTGCGCGAGGTAGAGACTTGTGAATAAGCGGGAGCAGTCAGACTCAGGTTCTCCAAACCCTAACCCCTAACCTCCCGACCCCCTCTCCCGTCCCGGGCAGTTGTCCCCAACAGTAGGCTTGGCACAGGGGGTAGGAGGTCTCGGAGGTCTGCTGGGCATCGGGGAGGCTCAGCGACTTTCCTGCCTGGACCGAGCTGCTTCCCCGGCAGCCGCTCCTTCCCCAGGCCAGGCCTGTCTCCCCGGAGGGACCCCATAGCTGGGCCCCAGAGGACAGTGGTTAGGAAAACGGCCACTGGGCAGAGGAGGCTGGATGTGGAGATGGAGGCTGCTTGCCCCCTTTCTCCCCCACCCCCCCTTCCTTGGGGCAGCCAGGTCCCACCCACTCACTCACTTTACCCCAGGGCAGTGCATTTTAAGGAGGCTTGGCCCCTCCCTGCCAGCCTCTCCTGCCCGTATCAGCCCACAGTGCTCCTCCCCTTGGGGGCCCCACTTTGGGCTGGGCCCTGTGAAGGGCCTGTTTGGTTCTAAGGTTCCTCTTAGCCCCAAACTTTGATGATGCTCCTTCCCTTGATTCTCGGGCTCCCCTGAGCTCCCCAGCCCCTGCTCACCGGCATCCCAGGGTCTCCCCTGCCTGCAGCTGCACTTGGTACAGCCCGTGCCGGCCCCTGAGCCGTCCTGGGGGACTGGCTGCAGCTCCACTCAGCAAACAGGCCGGCAAGGGGCACAGGGCTGCTGGCCAGTCAGCAAACAGGCTGGCACGGGGCGCAGGGCTGCTGCCTGCCCGGCCTGGACTCTGCAGGTAGGACCCAGGCAGGCGTGAGGCTGAGTGGGGGCTGGGTCCTGGATCGGGCAGGCACCTCCTCTTCCCTTTGTCCAGTCCTGGGACTCTGGGGCATCGGGGAGGGGCCTGGAGCCTGGAAGGCGCTCTACCTGGGCAGAGCCTCCAGGCTGCCCCTCAGCCACCGGGCAGGGGGGAGGGGAGTGCTGGAGAGGATGACCCTGGGCTGGGGGAGCCCACTTGGTGTGGAGAGCTTCCTTCTGGGAGGGTGGGGCTGGGGAGCCCAGGAGGTGGGCCGGGGTGGGCTGGGAGCTCGGGCAGCCCCTCTGGACCAGGCAGCTCGAGGCCTTCCTTGTAGCCTCCTCGTGTGCAGCTGAGTTCTGCCTCGGGGAGAGACCCTGCTCTCTGGCTCTCTCTTCCCGGCCCTTCCCGGGGCCTCCCGCCCAGATCCCGGCCTCTGAGTGGCGCAGACTGTTTGTGGCAGCTCCCTTTAGAGGGGCAGCCAGCAGTGGGAGGGGCAGGCGGGGCCAGGCCTCGTCTTGGCAGCCCTGGGGTCCTGGGGGAGAGGGCAGGCCTCCGGGGAGGCAGTAGGGTTCCTGCTGCAACCAGGTCCAACCGCCTGCACCTCCTCTTCCCTGGAGGGCTGGTCCCAGGTGGGAGCTGAGTGGCGGCTCCGTAGGTCCGGGACATCGGGTGTGGGCCCTGCCCTCCGAGAGGACGTGCCGTCCAGAGGCAGGTCTGATCCCCACCTCGGCCCTGGGAGCTGCGGGCTGGGGATCGCCATGTTGGCCCCCAGGTCCTTCTGAGCTGCTGGGGCGTGTGCACGCGTGTGTGCATGTGTGTGTGCAGACACACTTGTGCCTGTCTGTAGGAGGTTCATGGGGAGGTTCTCATGGCCCCTAGTCTAGGACTAGATTCTGATTCCTGGAGAGAATGAGTCACTTGGTCTAGGGGCAGACTGGGGTGGGTGAGGGGTCCCCGTGCTCGACTGAAGGTGAGGTCCTTTGGGAGCCTCACGCAGGCTCACCCGCTCCTCAGCCTCTGACACTGGGGAGTGGGGCTGGCCCCGGGCTTCCAGTGCACCCCATGACCCTGGTGTCCTGTCTCCACAGAGGCTCGGGGTGGGCTGGGGGCCCCTCCGCTGCAGTCTGCCCGGTCCCTGCCAGGCCCCGCCCCCTGCCTCAAGCACTTCCCGCTGGACCTGCGCACGTCTATGGATGGCAAATGCAAGGAGATAGCCGAGGTACCCTCTGCCTGGCACCTCACCCTCTGTCCCCATGCTGTCCCCAGGCTGTCCCGTGCCCGGCCCCTAGCCTCTTCCTGGTACCCTGGCTCCTGCCGCCCTCACCTCCTCCCAGACTCTGCCAGGGAGGGCCCCAGGCTGAGGGCCAGGCCTCGCTGATGCTGATCCGTCCTTCCTGCCACCAGGAGCTGTTCAGTCGCTCCCTGGCTGAGAGCGAGCTCCGCAGCGCCCCCTACGAGTTCCCCGAGGAGAGCCCCATCGAGCAGCTGGAGGAGCGGAGGCAGCGCCTGGAGCGGCAGATCAGCCAGGATGTCAAGTGAGCCCGGGCCCAGCCCTGCAGCCAGGCAGCCCGGGGTGGGGGGCTCAGCCAGGCAGCCCGGGTGGGGGGCTCAGCCAGGCAGGTGTGTGTGTAGGGGGCGCAGGCAGGAAGCTGTGTGTGTGTGTGTGTGTGTGTGTGTGTGTGTAGGGGGGCTCAGCCAGGCAGCTGTGTGGGTGGGTGGGGAGGGGCTCAGCCAGGCAGCTGTGGGGGGGGGGGGGGCTCAGCCAGCAGCTGTGTGTGTGTGTGGGGGGCACAGGCAGGAAGCTGTGTGTGTGTGGGGGGGGGGGGTGCAGCCAGGCAGCTGTGTGTGTGTGGGGGGCACAGGCAGGAAGCTGTGTGTGTGGGGGGGATGCAGCCAGGCAGCTGTGTGTGTTTGGGGGGCATGCTCTCTGAGCTCCGTCTCTGTCCCTTTCCCACTCCATCCCCGTTTGGGGCCCACGGGGAGGCAGCACAGGGCTGTGGGGTGAAGCACAGGCCTTGGGGTCAGGCTGCGGGTGCTGGTCTGCCTTCTGCCGTCAGCGTGGCCTGGAAGTCGGTGCCTAACTGGGTGGGTGTGCGTTCTCGTCCCAACCTGGGGCCCGGACAGCACGTGCAGCACGGCGACAGCACACGCACAGCACCTCGCTGGGGCAGGGACCCGGGAGCCAGGGCCGTCACCTGACCTCTCACCCCTCACCTCCAGGCTGGAGCCGGACATCCTGCTTCGGGCCAAGCAAGATTTCCTGAAGACGGACAGTGAATCGGACCTCCAGTGAGGAGGGCAGAGGGCGGGCGCACGGGGGCAGGGGCTGGGCCTGTCCCACTGCTGCTCCAACCCCTTCCTGTCGCCCTCCCTGCAGACTCTACAAGGAGCAGGCTGAGGGGCAGGGAGACTGGGGCCTGCGGGAGCGCGACGCGGTGCTGGAGCGGGAATTCCAGCGCGTCTCCATCTCCGGGGAGGAGAAGTGTGGGGTGAGTGGGCCGGGCTGGGGGCCAGGGGCTCCGCAGTTTGGGGAGCTGGGGGTGAGGCTAGAGAGGGTGCTTCTCTCTCCGGAAGCTGCAGGGGCGGAAGGTCTGGGAGAGCAGCAAGGGCTCCGCGTTTCAAGGTCAGGCCTCCGGGAACAGGTGGGAGTGAGCCTGGCGAGTGTGAGCCGGAGGGCAGTGCCCGCACGTCCTGGTCTGCAGGTGCCCTTCACAGACCTGCTGGACGCGGCCAAGAGCGTGGTGCGGGCGCTCTTCATCCGGGAGAAGTACATGGCGCTGGCGCTGCAAAGCTTCTGCCCCACCACCCGCCGGCACCTGCAGCAGCTGGCGGAGAAGCCTCTGGAGACGCGGACCTACGAGCCGGGCCCCGACACCCCTGTGTCCGCCGGTGGGACCCCCAACCCTGCCCAGGGCCCTGGTGTCCCCAGCTCCCTGAGCTCAGAGCCCAGGAACCTCTGCCCCGCCTGCTCCTTCCCACACCCAGCCTCTCGGCATGGGGGGCGGAGGCAGGGGCGGGATCCATCCTGCTGGGGCCTTGCCGTCTCCCCTCTGCGGGCCCCTGGGCTGGGCGGTGCGTGGTGGCCCTGACTCTGTTCTCCCCCTTCCCCCAGATGCCCCGGTGCACCCCCCGGCGCTGGAGCAGCACCCGTACGAGCACTGTGAGCCGAGCACCATGCCCGGGGACCTGGGCCTGGGCCTGCGCATGGTGCGGGGCGTGGTGCATGTCTACACCCGCAGGGAGCCTGATGAACAGTAAGAGGGGGTGGGGAGGGCTGGGAAACGGGGTGGAGGGGGGCGCTGCATTGGCTGGGGGGGCCTGCAGGGCCCGCTTGGCTTGCTCTCCTCACCCAAGCTCCCCCCATGTGCCAGGTGCTCAGAGGTGGAGCTTCCGTACCCTGACCTGCAGGAGTTTGTGGCTGACGTCAATGTGCTGATGGCCCTGATTATCAACGGCCCCATGTGAGTCCCGCGGTCCCCTCCCAGCCCTGCCCCAACACCTGTCGCCGAGTCCTAGACTCCCGCCGTGTGCTGCCCCCTTGGCAGCCTCTGCCCTGCACCCTCCCAGGTGCCTCCCGCAGGCCCTGAGCCGCGCCCCCGCCCCCCCCCCCCCATCCTGCAGAAAGTCGTTCTGCTACCGCCGGCTGCAGTACCTCAGCTCCAAGTTCCAGATGCACGTGCTGCTCAACGAGATGAAGGAGCTGGCCGCCCAGAAGAAGGTGCCGCACCGAGATTTCTACAACATCCGAAAGGTGGGTCCTCACTGCGGCCGGGCCCGCGCTCTGCCCAGCCTCCCCCATCCAGTACCAGGTAGGAGAGGCCTCTCCATCCCGCCGCCCGGGCCCTCGGCCCTCCCGGCCTCCCGGACCAGCAGCCCCCGCTCCCCCCAGGTGGACACGCACATCCACGCCTCGTCCTGCATGAACCAGAAGCACCTGCTGCGCTTCATCAAGCGGGCGATGAAGCGGCACCTGGAGGAGATTGTGCACGTGGAGCAGGGCCGCGAGCAGACGCTGCGCGAGGTCTTCCAGAGCATGAACCTCACGGCCTACGACCTGAGCGTGGACACCCTCGACATGCACGCGGTCTGTCCCAGCGGCGGGGGCCGGGGGGCTGGGGCGGCATGCAGGCGAGGGGCCAGGGGTGACCTGCCCGTCTCCCCCAGGACAGGAATACCTTCCATCGCTTTGACAAGTTCAATGCCAAATACAACCCCATCGGGGAGTCTGTCCTCCGAGAGATCTTCATCAAGACGGACAACAGGGTTTCTGGGAAGTACTTCGCTCACATCATCAAGGTGAGGCTCTTGGCTGCGAGGGCCCAGCCTTGGGGGCGGCCCTCCCCCTGCCTGAGCGAGAGCCTGGGTATCTGGTGCTTCTGGTGGGTGAGGCGGGTGGGTCAGGGGCTTGAGGAGGCCTGAGTGAGCACACGTGGTAGTGGGTGCGGACGGGGCACCTGGAAGCCCGAGGGTGACAGCTGCCCCACGCGTGTCTCTAGGAGGTGATGTCGGACCTGGAGGAGAGCAAATACCAGAACGCGGAGCTGCGGCTCTCCATCTACGGGCGCTCGAGGGACGAGTGGGACAAGCTGGCACGCTGGGCCGTCACGCACCGCGTGCACTCCCCCAACGTGCGCTGGCTCGTGCAGGTGCCCCGTCTCTTGTGAGTGCCTTGGAAGTGGGCGGGAAGATGGGGCAGAGACCAAGGGCGAGGGCCTGCCTCCTGGGATGGCGGACGGTCTCCTGTACCTCCTGGGCCCTCTCAGTAGGAGGCCCTTCCTGCGTCTGTTCACGGTCTGCCCAGCCTGGCCCACCCCGTAGGTCCACATGTGCTTCTGTGGTCTCGGGCCGGGCTCCGGCCCTTCCTGGCTGCTGGTGCCTCACCGGACCTGACCTGCCCGCGCCTGTGCGCCCGTCTCGCCTGCAGTGACGTTTACCGTACAAAGGGCCAGCTGGCCAACTTCCAGGAGATGCTGGAGAACATCTTCCTTCCGCTGTTCGAGGCCACCGTGCACCCCGCCAGCCACCCGGAGCTGCACCTCTTCTTGGAGCATGTGAGGGGGCGCACGGTTGGGTGTCTGGGGAGATGGCCTGCCCCAGGCCCGGGGCAGCTCAGGCCTGACCCCGGGGTCCCGTGCCAGGTGGACGGCTTTGACAGCGTGGACGACGAGTCCAAGCCCGAGAACCACGTCTTCAACCTGGAGAGCCCCCTCCCCGAGGCGTGGGTGGAGGAGGACAACCCGCCCTACGCCTACTACCTGTACTACACCTTCGCCAACATGGCCACGCTGAACCACCTGCGCAGGTGCGCTCCGCGGGGCCTCCCCCCGCTCACCCCTCGAACGCTGACCCACCTCTGGGCCCACACATGGACCTGCGGCTGCCTCCCTGCCCTCGGGGCTCCATGGCTGTCGCCCGGCAGCAGGAATCTAGCCCCTGGTCCCAGGCCCTCGGTCTCGGGTGGGGGCTGGGAGCCCAGCGAGCTCGGGGCACAGGGAGCTGGGAGCTGACTCTGTCCTCATGCCCCCAGGCAGAGGGGCTTCCACACGTTCGTGCTGCGGCCGCACTGCGGGGAGGCCGGGCCCATCCACCACCTGGTGTCCGCCTTCATGCTGGCCGAGAACATCTCGCACGGGCTGCTGCTGCGCAAGGTCCGGGCTGCACCCCAGCCTCCCTCCCAGGGGCCCCCTTCCCCGACCCTTTGGGCCCCCTCCCCTCCGCAGCCTCCGCACTGAGGCCCCAGCCTGGATCCTGGCAGTAACTGACCCTCCACTGACCAGGCTCCGCCGGGATTCCCCCAACACACCTGCAGCCTGTGTCCCCAGAACCTGGTGCCCCCCAACCCTGAGGCATCTGACCGGCCTCGCTCCCTGTCGCCCAGGCCCCGGTCCTGCAGTACCTGTACTACCTGGCCCAGATCGGCATCGCCATGTCGCCGCTGAGCAACAACAGCCTCTTCCTCAGCTACCACCGCAACCCGCTGCCCGAGTACCTGTCCCGCGGCCTCATGGTCTCACTGTCCACCGACGACCCCCTGCAGTTCCACTTCACCAAGGTCAGACCCCAGGGCGGCAGGCAGGGACACCAGCTCTGGGCTCTCAGGGCTGGTGCTGCCCCCTGCTGGGGGAGCGCAGCAGGCCAGGGCGAGTTCCAGGGGAGGGCTGGCGCCGCAGGGCCTGGGGCCACCGATCTGAGGGAGCCTGCCTGTGCAGGAGCCGCTGATGGAGGAATACAGCATCGCCACCCAGGTGTGGAAGCTCAGCTCCTGCGACATGTGTGAGCTGGCCCGCAACAGCGTGCTCATGAGCGGCTTCTCCCACAAGGTACCACCCCCCTCCCCGCCTCCGCTGGGAAGTCCCAGGGTCCTGGGGCATGGCCCCCCAGAGCCGGCTGCAGCTGCCGCTCCCCCCTACCCCCCGCAGGTGAAGAGCCACTGGCTGGGACCCAACTACACCAAAGAGGGCCCCGAGGGCAACGACATCCGCCGCACCAATGTGCCCGACATCCGCGTGGGCTACCGGCACGAGACCCTGTGCCAGGAGTTGGCACTCATCACGCAGGCCGTGCAGAGTGAGATGCTGGAGACCATCCCGGAGGAGCCAGGCCTCACCATGAGCCCGGGGCCTCAGTGAGCCCGGTCACGGGTGCCCGCATCCCAGCGCCTTGACCATGTTTTGTCCTCGGACCCCCCCCCACCTGTCGTGGCCTCTGCATGTGTTGTTCTCCTCTGTTGCCCTGCATGTCTCCGTCCTCTGTCTCCGTGCCCCCCCCGGAAGCGGGGCCCAGGATGCGCTCCGCCTTTTCTTGGCTCAGGTGGCACCCCATGGCCCAAGTTTGAAGGCCGCCCTATTGGAGGCCCTGTTCCAAGATCCTCCGAAGCCTGGCTAGGGCTGGTTGTGGGGGGCTGGCCCCTCCGGCCTTTGGAGTCCTGCCTGGGCAAGTCTGAGCTTTGGCCGGGGGTGGAGTTGAGCTCCCGTCTTGTTTACGCGGCTGAAGTCCAAGGTGGGGCCTGTGCACATCTGCTGTGGGCACGGGGCTGCCAGGCCTGGGGGCTCGGGCGGGGGTTAGGTAGCTCTGGGCGGAGAGCAGGCGGAGCCCTGGCATCCTGGGCTTGGGCCTGGCAGCGTGGGACCACCACCTCTGCCCAGTCGGTGCCCGGCAGCCTTCTCCGTCCTTCCCCCGGGCCCTGTGCTCCCCTGTCCGCTTCCTGGGCCATGTGTGGGGCCAGTGCCGCTGGAGGCTCCTGGATCTGCCACAGGCCTGGGGGTGGCCTCTCCAATGTGGTTCCTAGAGTTCTGACCAGACCTGAGTCCTGGCTGGTCCCCTGTGCTGTTGTGTGGACTGAGGCCTTCGCTGTGAAATGCAGTGTTTCGTACAATCCCGTCCCACCTAGTGCATGAGAAATAAAGAGTATTTAAGTAAAGAGGCAGGTGGGGTCTCTGTGGGGAGAGGGGCAGCCGGGTCCGTGGCTGAGGTCAAGCCAGGAGCACTGTGGAGGGAAGGACGGGATTTTTAGGGGAGCGACGGGGCCTGGCTGATGTGTGTGCTTGTGCACACGGAAACTGGGAGGGAGAAGAGGCCCATGGGGGGACCCGCCTGCCATCACAAGCCTCGTCCAGCCTGGCCCCTCTGAAGGGGACACTGGACATCTGCTGCAGCCCCATGGCACCGCCTGGGAGATGTGCGCCTGTGCACTGACAAGCAGACCTAGGCCGTGGGCCTCACACTCTGACGCCTGCACGTTCGGGGAGCTTGTTGAAAATGCCACTTCCAGGCCCCACCCTCCGATCCCCAAGCAGCGAGCTGAAGGTGCAGGTGGAAATTGAACCAGCTCGGCTTCTGTCCCGTGTTTAACACACAACATCTGGAGCACCTGCAGGGAGGGAAGTGAGTGTGCCCTGTGCCGGGCAGGGTCCCGGGTTGGCGCCGAGAAGCCTGTCCCTGCTGCTGAGTGGGGCGGATGACGGGCTGGCTGTTTCAGAAGCCATTAGCCCGAGAACAGCGCGATCCGAGTAATTGAAGGCCTGGTGAAAGCTGGCTTCCTCCTCCCCTCTTGTCAGCTTGCTTGGCCCAGCCTGCGGCATCTGTGCCAGCCACCTCCTGGCATGACACTCGCCCAGTGTCCCCGGGCAGAAGCTCTCCTCGTGCCCTTGCCTCCGGAGGTCCCCTGGAGGCCAGGCCTGCCCCTGGCCAAGACCCAGGTCCTCCAGTCGCCAGAAGGCTCTTGTCGGTTTCCTGTCGCCGCGTCAGGGCTGGCTGAGGAGCTAGAGGCTGGACAGCTCTGGCTCATTTCTGTTGGGGAAACAGCAGGTGCAAGTGGCCTGTGGTAGAACCAGGACTGGAGGCCCGGGGAGCTCAGCACCCAGGCTCCTCCACCCCATGCTGGGTCCCCTCTGCCTGAAGGACGCTGCTGTTCCAGGGTGAGGGGAGCTCCTTTCCAAGGCGTTCCATCCATTTAATAATAAAAACGTGCTCGGTCTTCTCTTTGCCAAACAAGGGAGCAGGATTGGAGGATCTTTCTAGGTTCCTTGGAAGGAAGAATTGCCTGCTTCGTGTGCCAGCATCAGGACAGCAAGGACTCCATGTTTACTCACTGGGTTTGTCGTGTGATAGAAGCCTTCATGCCACTTTCTCGTCCTCTGTACAGTCTTCTCGTGTGTGCGGAGTCCCAGCCCCGAGAACACTACCAATTCCAAGCGTTTCTTTGCAAGCTATTTTTTTTTTAAACAACTTGCTTCTGGATTTTTTTGGTTCTTTGAAATCTCTTTCAAACATTTATTGAGAGAAAATATTTTTAAAACAGTCAGGCCTTAATACTTTTTCCTACTTGGAAAGGAAATAATTTTCATCCCAGAAATTTAGAAAATATACAAAAATTGGAACAACAACAGCAAAAAGCCCACTGGTTGACTTAATAGCAACAAATATTTGCTGATCATCTGCATGCCTGCAATCTACGTTTTAAAATATATTTATACATATCTTTCAGTTATTTTTAAAGAAGGTATTTTTGAGTTGCGATATATGTATAATTTTGTGGTTTTCAAATACTTTAACAGATCTTTCCATATTTCATTCAAGTATTTATATAAATCTTAATTCCTGTTCACTGGCCTACAGTGAGCCTCACCATCCCTTGCCATCATAGCTCTTGGTTGAGAACAACTATGGCCCAATGCTGTGAGTGACTTCACTCTGGAGCCACACACTGCTTTCTGGCTGTGTGCCCTTGGGCAAGTTACTTTCCCTCTGTGCCTCCAGGGGGCAGGGCGTACATCAAAGGCCTGGGAAATGGTGAAGACCTGAAAGAAAAACTTTGGGGCTGCAAAATATGAAAAGGACAGTGTCACAATTGATAAGTGTTTAAATGCCTTCCGAACGCTGAGCTGCACGTCAACTTTAATCTTTGTTAAGTTTGGTATCCACAGAAATGTCATTATATTTGAAAACAGTTGTAAATTGGGTTTTTGGCAAGAGTTCCAGACTATGCAGGATGATTGAAGAGAAATCATAAGGCCAAAAAAGAAAAATAAATCCTAGCCAATGGTAAACTAAGTGAGTTACTCATCGTCAAGTAATTTCAAAAGCAAATTCATAAAAGTCCTTGTACATTGAAAGCCAAGAAGAGCTCTATTTGATGAGGGAATGTGGGTGCATTTTAACTTCTGTTCCAAGGAGGGTGGGGCCGTGGGGCATCCGAGGTGGGGTGTGTGGAGGGCTGAAAATGGTCTGGCCATCAGCTCCGCCTGTGGTCTAGCCAGGCTCCTTTCTCCTGCCTGCCTCCCTAACGTTGGGCGGGTTCAGAGCACCTAGGCAGGGGTCTGTGCAACCCTCATGTGGTTGGAGGTTCTGGCTCCAGTTAGAGAAGAAGCTGACCTGGATTTGAAACCTGAGTGTTTCCCGGGGCAAGCCCCCTCTCCTTGACTTCCCAGGTTCGGGGTGCTGTGCACAGGAGAGAGAGTGCAGCCCATTTCCAGCCTTGTATGCAGAGCTAGGGTTCAAATCTAAGTCCACTGGACTCCAGATTCCAAGCGGACGCACAGGCGTGCGGATCTGGAGGACCGGCAAACGCCAGAATCTTGAAAGACCACGCTGTCTGGGAGATCCGAATCCCACATCATCCGAGATGCAGTGAGCGCCACCCTCGGAGATGACAGGCCTTTTGGTCTCGTCAAAGGGAAGAGAGCCGAAATCTGCCAACAGGCTGCCGGTGTCAGTCCTGGGTGGCCTGCAGGACCAATAACCAGCATGTTCTCTTCTGCTGGGAGAGCAGGGCCACCCCGTGTATAGCACCACCCACTGATGGGGGGTGAACCTGAAGAACCGTCTAATAAAGTCATGTGCACTCTCCTGGCCTCTTTGTCCTTACCAGGCTGCTCCCCTGCCCCCGCCCGCCCTCCGGAGTCTCCCAGATCGTCCCCACTGGTCTCTCCTTCCAAGGCCAGTTCTCTGTGTTCTCTGATATTTCAGAGGCCCGTCAACTGCTCCTGTTTCCGGAAAATCTCTTGCCTCCGCGTGGGTCGACCCCACTCCCACTGGTCCTATTTCCTTGCTGTCTCCATCTCCCCCCTCCCCCACACTCATGGGGCCCAATGACAGCTGCTGCTCTGCTCACAGCCCAGAGTCAGGGAGGATTTGGGGACAGGGGCCTGTGCAGGGCAGAGGTGGGGGAGAGGAGAGGAGGGGAAGCTCCTTTGCGGTTCTCCCTGGGCCTCAGTGGGTAAACGGATTAGCAGAGGTCAAGCTGCGGATGGAGACAGTGCTCACTGGCTGCTGGGGGAGGAGGCGGCCCTGCAGGCCACAGCCATCATCTGTCACCGCAGCCAGCAAAGACCCGGCAGTGAAACTGACCCCCTCCGACCCACTCACAGGAGATGCTACTTTCAAGCCTACATCAGGGAATCAAAACTCCAAGCACAGGATTTTCCCAAAGGCCCCCAGCAGTGGCTTGGGAGCGGGGAGTTAGAACAAGTGCCCTAACCCTACCCCTAGCCCTAAACCTACCTCTGTCCCTATCCCTAACCCTAATCTTGTGCCTTTGCCCCAACCACCCTAGGGCTGGGGAGCACAGCTTGGCAAGCAGAGTTCCGGCTGGCATTCAGTCCCTGATCACCTGGGGGCTGTTGTCAGTGCACACCTGCCTAATGTAGGTGACGGCCTGGCCCTGGGGCCCTGGGCACCTGCAGCCTAAGGGGGCACGTGCAGCTGCATTATCACCGATGTACTGGTTCTCCCAGCTGGGAGGTCTTGGCGGCATCCTACAGGCCCATATACATCAGATGAAGCCACAGTCACCCCTGCTCCGTCCCTGGCCTGTCCGGTAGCTGAACAAGGCTCCGTGCCCACAGAGCTGCCCGAGCGCCTCAGGGCTGTTGGGGGTGGTGGTGTAGGTGTTCATGCCTAGGTATCCTGTGTGTCTTGGGTGCTGGAGCCCCCACTGTGAAGCATCCAGATGCGTGGCTCTCTCCTTCCCGCCCTGCCACATCCTGTCTTTGTGCACAGGTACCTGGCCGGGCTGCGTGGGCGCCCGGGTCATGTATAAACCCAAGACTGATGCTCATCGGCGTGCCGCCTTTGTGAGTTAGGAAAAGGTGGGCCCTCTGAGCAGACACAGCCCTGTTAACTCACAGAACCGATGGCATCGTTGGGGAGAGAAAAGTGTGTCCCTCCCTCCAGGTGGCTGCCGCTGTGCGAGATCAAGTTCCTGGGTGCAGGCTGCATTTCAGCTTCCACTTGCCCCTGGACTGGTAGCCTTTTGCAGTTCCCAACGTGTCCATTGGGTGGCGGTACTGAGACAGACTTCTGCCTCAGCTGCTGGCTGGGCTGATGGGGTACCCTCTCCAGGCATCCATGCTCACCTTTCATCCAGTCCCCTCCTCCTCTCTCCCCTCTGACCTCTGTCAGTGTGTTCCATGTTCTAAAACTTGAATTGTCTTATTTCATGCCTATGAAATGGTATCCCATGCCTATACCACAAATATTGTTTAAGGTTAGCTTTAAAAAATACGTTTTCTCAGTGGACTCCAGGAATGTGTCTGTTCCAAGCTCAAGATGTGTAAAACTCAGAGTGGAAAATCCTAATGTATTATGACAAATATTAGAGGGCTATTTAGAAGGCCAGCACTTGTGTGTGTGCATGGCCAACATGGAGTCAGGATTCTAAAGTCTTGGAGGAGCTTTCAGACAGGCTGGTCTACCAGCGACAGGTGCCCACTGAAACTCGATTTGAGGGGCGCCACTCTGGGTGTAATTGCAGTCTGAGCCTCCCTGGGCCTTGGGGACTCTGCAGCCGATGCCTGCAGGGGAAGGGAAGGAAGGGGAGAGGAGCCTCTTTTTTTTGCGACTCAGATTTGTTTCCCGAGCGCACTGTCCACTCCCTCTGACCGGCCGAGGTCTGAACGCGGACGGGGAGCCAGGCGAGCCCAGCCCGGCGTTCGGCGTCCTGGCGCCCAGACCTCGGCACCGCAATCCCCGCGGCTCGGGGCGGAAATGCGCCCTGCCAGTCGCTCGCCGCGCTTCAGCCTCCCGGCGCCGCGTCATCAGGAGACCGCGGGGATTGGGTAATTGGTGGGGCGAGGGCGGGGCGCCGAGGGCGAGGGGGCGGAGCCTCCATCAGGCCCCACCCCCGACCCCGGCCCACCAACTTGCAGCCCAGCTCTGCTTGAGTGTCCTGGAGGCAGGAACGCTGACCATGGCCATGACTCTGGGTTACTGGGACATCCGAGGGGTGAGCGAGGAGCCCCCGGCGGGTGGGGTGGAGCCGGCGGCCGGCGGGCGGGCGGGCGGGGAGGTGCTGAGCAGCAGGAGTCGGTTCCACCTGAAGGTTGCCCGGGGCTGCCTGGAGCCCAGCACCCCCGCACCCTCCCCTCGTCACCACCTGTCCTCTGGCGGGTCAGGGCCAGGGCTAGGGCGCCGGCAGCGCCGGGATGTCTGTGTGTGGGGGGAGAGGATGGGGTTGGAGTTGGGGCAGAGCGAGTCCCGAGTCGGGCCCTGGGCCCCTGACCTCCGTTCCTCCGTCCGTCCAGCTGGCTCACGCCATCCGCCTGCTCCTGGAGTACACAGACTCCAACTACGAGGAGAAGAAGTACACGATGGGGGACGGTAATGGCATCCCGTCGCGTTCTGACTTCAGCCCAACTCCTGCTGATTTGGTCTGGAGAACCCGTGCCCGGCCACCTGTGGCTTTCCGCTGCCGCCCTCCACTGGCCGGAGCACGCCCTGCCCTTCCTTCACCCTCTGAGGGTGGACCTTGGCTCAGGCAGGGCAGGAGGGGGCGGCTGGGCCCCTGTGTCAGTAAGGGCGATGCCCCCTGGGTTTGCCGCACTCATGGAAGCCTGGTCCATGGGGCGCCAGGGACTTCTCAGCGTTCTTTCCCCCAAACCCGGGAGAGAGACTCTGTGCTCAGCTTCCAGACTCTCCTGCTCAGGGGCAGGGCCACTGACTCCCTGGTGGGTCCCCGGGACAGAGGGCTGGGCTGGGGGGTGGTCCCTTCACTCCGTCTTCTCCACCACAGCTCCCAACTTTGACAGAAGCCAGTGGCTGAATGAAAAGTTCAAGCTGGGCCTGGACTTCCCCAATGTAGGTGCAGGAGTTGTGGTCGGTGGTGGGCTAGGGAACTACCTCCCTTGAGGCTCCTTTTCCCGGCTTGATTCAGAGGCTTTTGGACCCAGGGCTCTGCTCATCCCAGGCTCCCTGGTTCTTGTCGCTGCTCCCCACGATGCTGTGTGTGCAGCTCATTCCCTCATGTGACAGTACCTCTGCTCAGTGGGCCAGACCCTGGGCCCAGGTTTCATGTCTGCCCCCGATGCAGGGAGGGGCTTCAGGGTGGCCCATGGCCTCCTGACCTGCCTCTGTCCCCCCTGCAGCTGCCCTACCTGATTGACGGTGCTCACAGGCTCACCCAGAGCAATGCCATCCTTCGCTACCTTGCCCGCAAGCACAACCTCTGTGAGTGCGGCTGGGGTGGATGCAGGGGGACGGGCAGCCCTGGGCCTGGGCTGGTGGGGTGGAGGCTGAGGGGGAGCCCCTGTTGTGTCAACAGGTGGGGAGACGGAAGAGGAGAAGATCCGCGTGGACATGTTGGAGAACGAGGCGATGGACACGGCCAATCTGCTGGCAAGGCTCTGCTACAGCCCTGACTTTGTGAGTCGCCTCGTGCTGAACGGGGTGGGCCGGCTTTGATAGGAGCTTCGACACTTTTGTCACATCTGCATGGTTCTACTTGCCATTGAACTCCTTGGAGCTTCGGATCCTCCACGCTGGTCCCTGTCCTGTCAGCAGAGTGGCCCTCAGGACCCCTAGTGCCTCTAATGAAATCTCTGACTCGTTCCCCTCAATCTCTGCACAGCGTGCAGACTCCCGCGGTCGAGGTTTACTTCCGAACAGTGTGTGCAGCTTGTTAGCCCTGCCCCGCCTTCTTGGCACCTTTGGACGTCAGCACACTTTCCCAGGAGGCGGCATGGGGCACCCACAGGGCCTGCGTGCCCCTCACTCCTTGCTTTCAGTCTCTCAGATTCTCCCCGTCTGTCCAGAAAGTGCTCACGTGTCCTTCTGTCACCCACCAGCTGGGATGCCCTTCCCTGGGCCATTTTAGCTCTTTGCTTCTTTCAATCTGCCTGTCATCTGGGTCCAGGCTCTGCAGGTTCCCCGGTGCCTGGGTCTGGCCCATGCAGGGTGTGGAGATGAGTGGAGACAGGGTCAGGCACAGGCTGGTATCGCTCTGTGCTTCCCATCTGCCTGTCCCAGCGGGAGGTGGTACCCAGGAGGAGTGCAATGACCACAGGTTGGATTAAATTATAACCTGGGCACTGACCCAGGTGCAGCTGGGGACATGGGTGCCCACTGTGGCAGCTGGGGCACAGCCCTGGGAGGCCTACGCTCTGCCCAGGGAGTCCCTGGCGTGGGTGGTGACCGCTGTTTTGTGCCTCAGGAGAAACTGAAGCCTGAGTACTTGAAGGTGATCCCTGAAAAGATGAAGCTCTTCTCAGAGTTCCTGGGCAAGGAGTCTTGGTTTGCAGGGGACAAGGTACGGGGAAGGCTTTGGGGTGGGGGAGGGGACACGCTCCCTGTTTCAGAGCTGGGCGCCCATTCACCCTGTGCCTGCCCGCAGCTCACCTACGTGGACTTCCTGGCCTACAACGTTCTAGACCTGCACCGCACGTTTGAGCCCAAGTGCCTGGACGCGTTCCCGAACCTGAAGGACTTCGTCGCCCGCATAGAGGTGACCCCACTGATCCTCTTACTATGTTACCTCTTTTGTCTCCTCTGATTCTTTTTTAAAAATACATTTGTATTAATTTCACAGACGAAGCGGGAGGGAGAAAGAGAGAGAAAAACATCAATGATGAGAGAGAATCATTGGTCAGCCGCCTCCTGCACACCCCACACTGAGGATCGAGCCCACAACCCAGGCATGTGCCCTGACCCGGAATTGAACTGTGACCTCCTGGTTCATAGGTGGATGCTCAACCAGTGAGCCACGCCGGCCCAGCTCCCCCTTATTCTTGATGCTTCTCTCGTCCTGCAGCTAAAAGGAAGCATAACTAGCATTCATTGAGGACTTGCTTTATGCCAGGATCTGTGCACAGCGTGTTTATTGAGTTTAACCTTTGGAACATGCCTACATGGTAGAAGATTTATTACCTCCCTTTAACAGATAATGACATGAAGTGAGGCTGAAAGGGTGGGTCGTTTGCTCAAGGTCACAGAGCCAGTCCACTGGGTCACAGCCCCGGCACTGGTGCGGGACCCGCAGTTGGCGGGGGCTTCCATGGGCAGCAGGCAGAGGCCCCCCTTTCCTGTGCCAGGAAGGCAAGCTCAGGCCCTCCTCCAGCCTGCGTGTCACAGCTCCGGACTTTGTGGAGGAAGCAGGGTGTTCCAGAGTGTGTATGTAGGAAATGAGTAGAGCTGGGATGTGTTAGGGATGACATGAAGTACCAAAGACACAGTGTTTCCTCCCTGTCTCCAGACAGCTCTGCAGCCTGGGGTGCCCTCTGGGCAGTGCTGAGACCTCCGGGCTGTCGCCAGCGCTGGGGTCTGCAGTGTGGTTGCCGCTGCAGAAGGATTTTACCTTGGCACCTGTGGTGGGCACTTTCCTTCCCTGCCCTCTCCCCGTCTCTGCAGTTACACAAAGAACTGTCTCAGAGATGAGGTGGTTCATTTATTCTCGGTTGGATTCACTGACGTGCCTCTCTCCTCTGTATGAGGCACTGTGACAGGCTCAGCGAGGATGCAGAGGTGACTTAGCCCTACCCCCTGTTTCCCCCCGCACCCCGTGCCTCCTGGGTCTCAGGAGGAAGTGCAGGAGGAGTCCCCGCTGTGTGGTCCTGCGGTTCCACCCAGGTGTTGGAGGTGCATGTCCTAAATCTCATCTCACAGCTCATCATTGGTTCCCTTAGTGAACTCACAGATGATCAATGAAGTCCGCTTTGCCCGGCGGCGTGGCTCAGTGGTTGAGCGTTGACCTAGGAACCTGGAGGTGCTGGTTTGATTTCCAGTCAGGGCACATGTCCAGGTTGTGTGCTGGGTCTCCAGTGGGCAGTATGTGGGGGGCAGCCCATTGCTGATTCTCTCTCATCATCGATGTTTCTCTCTCTCCCTCTCCCTTCCTCTCTGAAATCAATACAAATATATTAAAAACAAAGTGGGCTTTATCACAGATGTGGGAACTTGAGGCATCCCGAGGCCCAGACTTTTCAGCTCACAGTCTGTTTCCCTTTCCCCTCCCCATCAAGAGATCTGCTTTGTCAGCCAGTTCCCATCGACTCTGGTTCGGGTCCAGGGCCATCAGCCTTGGATATTATGCAAGAGCCGGCGGACTGACTGGCTGGGAGGGAAGGGGCACAGCTGTGGGCTGCAGCCGCGGCCTGTGGGGGCCAGGCCTTGGTCACAGGCAGTCCCAGGCCCTTCGCATCCTGTAGAAGTGACTGGACACGCTCTGTCGTGGGAACATGGCGCTCACACACACCGTGTGTCCCAGGCCTGGTTGGCTGCAGGTGGACCGGTGAGGCAGGTCGGGGCCCATTGAGATTGGGCTCAGGAACCAGGCCAAGCAGGCAGTGGACTTTCTCCTTTGAGGGGACCGGTAGGGCCTGGCTCTGCTGCTCCACACCCTCCTATCAGCTTTCACCCCCGTTTTGCTGAGTCATGGGTGAGCCCTGGCCTGCTCTGCAAGCTGCACAGGCACATCCTGAGCCCTTTGTTCTGTCTGGGTCCCTCCTGAGCAGCCCCTGGGCTGCGGGAGCCTCCCTGTGAGAAAGGAGACAGTCTGTACAGAAGGGGAGGGCCAAGGCCTCCTGTGTGGGCGGGAGGAAGGGAGGAAGGGAGGGCAGCAGAGCACAGGGTGGGAGGGAGAGCCAGGCTGCCTTCCAGCCCTCCCCTCCCCCCCGCCCAGCTGTGAGCGTTTGGCAGGGGCTTCAGCGCTGTGTGCCTCAGTTTCCCTCCTGATAAACAGTGATAGCAGAACCTATCCTGTAGGCTAAGAATGTCAAACTTGCAGCCTGCAGGCCGCATGCCATGTTTATTTAGCCCTGGCGTTTGACATGCTTGCTGTAGGCAGTTGTGTGGAATGTTGTACACCTGTTTCACCGTCACTAATGGCTCTGAGGCCCCTGCCACAGTGTGGTCTCATATGTGGGAACTGTGACTAAGATATCACACCAGTCACAGGAAACGGCAAGAGTTAACTCAGCGGAACTGGGACCCCAGGAAGACTGTCTTATGCCAGGATCCTGAACTTGGAGTGTCTGGAGTGAGGCTGTGTGAGCCCCGGGGGCGGGGGGCAGCAGACCCTGAGGTCTGGCCTCTCTCCCTTCCCCACCCCGCACCCCTCCAGGGCCTGGAGAAGATCGCCGCCTACATGAAGTCCAGCCGCTTCCTCCCAGCACCTATTTACACCAAGGTCGCCGTGTGGGGCAACAAGTAGTGCCCGGAAGTGCAGGGCAGGGCCCGGGAGCGAGGAGCACACCGGGACTGGAGAGCAGCTGGGCCTCCCTGAACCCGCGGAACCCGCTGTCTTGTTCTTTTCTCCTTTTCTTTCCTTCACCCCCACTCAGGACCCCCAATCCCAGGTCACCAGGACTTTAGAGCTCGCCAGCACCCCTTGTTCCGTGAAGGCTTCCTGCACAAAGCCAATCGGACTGACCGTCCTTTCGGTGATCGCTCCCGACTGGACCCCTGGCCTGTGGAGCTCAGCCCTGAGCTCCCACCTCTGCTCTGCAGACCAGGACGGCCTGGGGGTGTGCAGGCCCTGAACCCCCCGCATTGACCCTGCCCAGCTGCTGAGCCTGATCACACCTGCTGTGTCCTGTCTTAATCCCTCCTGGCCACCGAGCTCACTCTCCAACAGGCCCTGCTGCGTCCCAGCGTCAGTGGCGGGTCCTTGGGGATCCTGGGTGAGACGTGTTGTTCCCATTTCTGACACCGTTGGAGCAGGACACGTCATGGCTCTCTCTTGTGGAGGCGGTACTACAGGCCACGGATCACAGAGGGACTTCAAAAGCCGCCTGAGCACTCATACCCCGAAGCACATGTGTGTCAGGATCCAGGTCGGGGCTGGAATCCGTGGGCCCGGACAGCTGGGGGTCTGCAAGGCCCACACTGCGGCCCTGCGGGGAGTCCCCAGGCTCCTGGCGGAGCTCCCACCCCCGCTCTGATGCCTCTGCAGCAGCACAGGCGGCTGGTCCCTCAGAGGCCACCTCTTCCCGCTGCACTCCGCCACTGCCCTCAACCCCACGCCCTGTGTGACCACTGTGCTCCCCGTTCTGTTCTCGGCAGCATCGGGGACACCTCGCAGGTGGGCAGGCCATTTCTGGGGCTGCGCTCAATACTCTGCCTCTTTGCAGGGGCTGGTTCTGGATTTTAACAACTGCGACCATAAAGCCAATTGATTAATTTTCATTTGATTCTTGTTCAGTTTTTTAAATTCCAAAGGGAGGACGGGAGAGGGAGAGAGAGAAACATCAGTGATGAGAGGGAATCACTGATCGGCTGCCTCCTGCACACCCCCCTACTGGGGAAGAGCCTGAAACCCAGGCATGTGCCCTGATGGGGAATCCAACCTTGACCTCCTGGTTCACAGGTCGCTGCTCAACCACTGAGCCACACCAGCTGGGCTTCATTGGATTTTTATCTCTTAGACACAAGACTTAAGAGCTGGGTCCTCCCAATTGCAAGATAGGGAACACGGAGGCCCCATCTCCTCCCCTGTCCTTACCCTGGGTGTTCCCACCCCCTGAGAGTGAGGTCTGCAAGACGCAGGGCGCCCGGGGTTCCGAGGCCCTGGAGGTGCTGCAGCAGCCCAGGGGGAGGCGCGCGGTGCCTGGAGGGGAACGGGGGGGGGGGGGGGGGGGGGGGGCGGGCGAAGGGGGACGCGCCTTGTGTTTTTGCGATCAGGGATCGGTCTCCCTGGCGCACTGCCCACTCCCTCTGGCCCGGCCGGCGGGCGAGGTCTGAACGAGGGCGCGGAGCCCTTCCGTGTCCTGGCGCCCAGGCTGTGTCCCCCAACTTCCACGGCTGGGTTATGGGCATGTTGTGTTTCACTGCGTCTCGGGGTTGGGGGTGGGGTGTGGGCGGGGCTGGGGGGCGGGGCCCAGGGACGGAAACTCGGGGGCTGTGTGCACCGCAGGCCCCGCCCGCCCCTCCTCCCGGACTGAGCTTAAAACGCGAGTCCCTCTTCCCAACAGCCCCGCCGCTCAGAGCGCGAGAACCAGCACCATGGCCATGACTCTGGGTTACTGGGACATCCGAGGGGTGAGCGAGGGGTCCCCCGCGGGGTGGGGCGGGGGGTGATGTGGAGCCGGGGGCGGGCGGGGAGGTGCCGAACCGCCGGGGCCCGCTCTACCCGAAGGCCGCCTGGTGCCCAGCCCCCGCCCGCCGCCTGTCCCCGGGTGGGCGCGCCCGGGTGTCTGTGTGTTGGGGGGAGAGGATGGGGTTGGAGTTGGGGCAGAGCGAGCCCCGAGTCGGGCCCTGGGTCCCTGACCTCCGTCCCTCCGTCCGTCCAGCTGCTACGCATCCGCCTGTCCGGAGTACCCAGACTCAACTACGAGGAGAAGAAGACCCGTTGGGGGGGTTGGGTAATGCATCCGTTGCGTTCTGACTTCGGCCCAACTTCTGCTTATTTGGTCTGGAGAACCGGCCGGCCACTGTGGCTTCCGCTGCCGCCTTCCACTGGCCGGAGACGCCTGCCTTCCTCACCCTCTGAGGGTGGGACCTTTGCTCAGGGCGGGCAGGAGGGGCGGCTGGGCCCCTGTGTCCGTAAGGGCTCTGCCCCCTGGGTTGCCGCATCCTGGACGCGGGTCCATGGGGCGCCTGGGACTTCTCAGCGTTCTTTCCCCCAAACCCGGGAGAGAGACTCTGTGCTCAGCTTCCAGACTCTCCTGCTCAGGGGCAGGGCCACTCACTCCCTGGTGGGTCCTGGGGAGAGGGGGATGGGCTGGGGGGTGGTCCCTTCACTCCGTCTTCTCCACCACAGCTCCCAACTTTGACAGAAGCCAGTGGCTGAATGAAAAGTTCAAGCTGGGCCTGGACTTCCCCAATGTAGGTGCAGGGAGTGGGGGGCGGTGGGCGTAGGGAACCTGCCTCTCCTCTGAGGCTCCTTTCCCGGCTGAGACAGAGGCTTTGGGACCCAGGGCCTCTGCTCAGCCCCCAGCTCCCTGGTTCTTGTCGCTGCTCCCCACGATGCTGTGTGTGCAGCTCATTCCCTCATGTGACAGTACCTCTGCTCAGTGGGCCAGACCCTGGGCCCAGGTTTCATGTCTGCCCCCGATGCAGGGAGGGGCTTCAGGGTGGCCCATGGCCTCCTGACCTGCCTCTGTCCCCCTGCAGCTGCCCTACCTGATTGACGGGGCTCACAGGCTCACCCAGAGCAACGCCATCCTTCGCTACCTTGCCCGCAAGCACAACCTCTGTGAGTGCGGCTGGGGTGGGTGCAGGGGGACGGGCAGCCCTGGGCCTGGGCTGGTGGGTGGGGCTGAGGAGAGCCCTTTTTGTTCAAACAGGTGGGGGAGACGGAAGAGGAGAAGATCCGCGTGGACATGTTGGAGAACGAGGTGATGGACCTCCGGATGTTCCACATCAGGACCTGCTACAGCCCTGACTTTGTGAGTCCCTCCCGGGGGGCAGGGCTGCGTCGGTGTTGGTCGGAGGCTGGACTTTTGCGTCCCCTCCGTGCATGTCCTGCTTGCCATTGAACTCCTTGGAGCTTCGGATCCTCCACGCTGGTCCCTGTCCTGTCAGCAGAGTGGCCCTCAGGACCCCTAGTGCCTCTAATGAAATCTCTGACTCAGTTCCCCTCAATCTCTGCACAGAGTGCAGACTCGCGTGGTCGAGGTTTAGTTCCTAACGGTGTGTGCAGCTCATTATCCCAGCCACGCCTCCTTGGCACCTTTGGGCGTCAGCACTTTCCCAGGAGGCGGCGTGGGGCACCCACAGGGCCTGCGTGCCCCTCACTCCTTGCTTTCAGTCTCTCAGATTCTCCCTGTCTGTCCTAAAAGTGCTCGGGTGTCCTTCTGTCACCCACCAGCTGGCACTTTTTATTTATTTCTTTATCCTCACCGGGGATATTTTTCCATTTATTTTTAGAGAGAGTTGAAGGGAGAGGGAGAGACAGAGAAACCCAGACGTGAGAGTGGCCCATCCATTGGTTGCCTCCCGCATGCCCTGACCAGGGCCGGCAGCCTACAACCAAGGTACGTGCTCTTGACCGGAATCGAAGCCAGACCCTTCAGTCCCCAGGTGGATGCTCTATCTACTGAGCCAAATTGGTTGGGGCACCAGTTGGAATGTATCGTTCCTGCCCCTGGGCCATTTTAGCTCTTTGCTTTCATTCTGCCTGCCGTCTGAGTCCAGGCCCTGCAGGTTCCCCGGCGCCTGGGTCTGGCCCATGCAGAGTGTGGCAATGAGTGGAGACAGGGTCAGGCACAGGCTGGTATCGCTCTGTGCTTCCCATCTGCCTGTCCCAGCAGGAGGTGGTACCCTGGAGGAGTGTAGTGACCACAGGTTGGATTAAATTTTAACCTGGGCACTGACCTGGGTGCAGCTGGGGACATGGCTGCCCACCGTGGCAGCTGGGGCACACCCCTGGGAGGCCTGCCCTCTGCCCAGGGAGTCCCTGGCGTGGGTGGTGACCGCTGTTTTGTGCCTCAGGAGAAGCAGAAACCTGAGTTTTTGAAGGTGCTCCCTGAAAAGCTGAAGCTCTTCTCCGAGTTCCTGGGGAAGAAGTCTTGGTTTGCAGGGGACAAGGTACGGGGAAGGCTTTGGGGTGGGGGAGGGGACACGCTCCCTGTTTCAGAGTTTGGCGCCCATTCACCCTCGGCCTGCCCGCAGCTCACCTACGTGGACTTCCTGGCCTACGACCTGCTGGGCGTGCTTCGCATGTTTGAACCCAAGTGCCTGGACGCGTTCCCGAACCTGAAGGACTTCTTGGGTCGCTTTGAGGTGAACCCCCTGATCCTCCTACTGTTTTGTGTGTTTTGTCTCCTTCGTTTCCCTGACACTTCTCTCGTCCTGGAGCTCAAATGAGGCTTAATCAGCATTCATGGGGGACTAGCTTAATGCCAGGATCTGTGCTCAGCGTGATGCTAACAGTTGGTGAAATGTAATCTTTAAGACATTCCTACATGGGAACATTTTTCACGTCCATGTTAGGAAATGGAACTGAAAGGGTGGGTCGTTTGCTCAAGGTCACAGAGCCAGTCCACTGGGTCACAGCCCCAGCACTGGTGTGGGACCCGCAGTTGGCGGGGGCTCCCATGGGCAGCAGGCAGAGGCCCCCCTTTCCTGTGCCAGGAAGGCGAGCTCAGGCCCTCCTCCAGCCTGCGTGTCACAGCTCCGGACTTTGTGGAGGAAGCAGGGCGTTCCAGAGTGTGTATGTAGGAAATGAGTAGAGCTGGGAGGCAGTAGGGATGACATGAAGTACCAAAGACACAGCAATTCCTCCTTGTCTCCAGACAGCTCTGCAGCCTGGGGTGCCCTCAGGGCAGTGCTGAGATCTCCGGGCTGTCGGTGCTGGGATCTGAGTACACATGTGGTGGCCCCTGCAGAAGCATGTTTTTGTTGTTAACCCTCACCCTAGGATAGTTTTTCCATTGAATTTTAGAGAGGGTGGGAGGGAGAGAGAGAAACATTCATGTGAGAGAGACACATTGATTGGTTGCACCCTGACCGGGGCTGGGGATCAAACCTGCAACCCAGGTACATGCCCTTGACTGGGAATGGAATCTGAGACCCTTCAGGATGTGGGCCAACACCCTAACCACTGAGTGCACCAGCCAGCCAGCCAGATTTCATCCTCACATCTTCTGTGGGCCCTTCCTTAACTGTCTCCTTTTCCTTCTTTCCTATTACCCAGGACACTGTCTCGGGGATGAGGTGGTACATTTACTTTCAGTCGTATTCACGGACGTGCCCCTCTCCTCTGTGTGAGGCTCAGGGAGGATGCAGAGGTGGCCCAGCCCCGGAGTCCCCCCCCTCCTGGGTGCAGGAGTCCCCGATGTGTGGTCCTGCGTTCCCACATGGGCGGTGGGGGTGCACGACCTGAACTTCACCTCACAGCTCATCAGCGGTGACCTTAGCCAACAGATGTGGGAACTTGAGGCATCCTGAGGCCCAGACTTTTCAGCTCACAGTCTGTTTCCCTTTCCCCTCCCCATCAAGAGATCTGCTTTGTCAGCCAGTTCCCATCGACTCTGGTTCGGGTCCAGGGCCATCAGCCTTGGATATTATGCAAGAGCCGGCGGACTGACTGGCTGGGAGGGAAGGGGCACAGCTGTGGGCTGCAGCCGCAGGCTGTGGGGGCCAGGCCTTGGTCACAGGCAGTCCCAGGCCCTTCGCATCCTGTAGAAGTGACTGGACACGCTCTGTCGTGGGAACATGGCGCTCACACACACCGTGTGTCCCAG